TGGATTCGGTGGTCGTGGCGGCTTCGGCGGTGGCCGTGGTGGCTTTGGCGGATTCGGAGGCCGCGGTGGCTACGGTGGTGGCTACGGTGGTCCTGGTGGTGCTGGTGCTGGTGCTGGTGGCCCTGGCTTTGAGGGTGTCCCCTCAGTGCCCCCCAACCCGTTCACGGATTTCGCAACCTCCGGGGGCGAGAAGGGCCCGGTTATCTATGTCCGCAACGTAAGCCTCCTTTCGCGCTCAAATGTCACTCGTGGACCCGTATACTAATGCGTGGTAATCATAGCTGCCCTGGTCTACCTGCAATGAAGATCTGGTCGACCTGTTCTCGACTATTGGAAAGGTAGACCGTGCGGAGATTCAGTACGAGCCCAATGGTCGCTCTCGCGGCACGGGTGTGGTCCAGTTTGACAACGCAGAGACAGCAGAAACTGCAATTGGTATGTTTTGTAAGCCGCGTCTTCCAATGCAAACACTGACGTTTGTATAGCCAAGTTCACCGGTTATCAATACGGTGGCCGTCCACTCGGCATCACTTTTGTCAAGTACATGAATGCGGGCGCTGGCCCCGGAGACGCCATGGAGGGTGCCGAGCCACTGGTGGTATCACGCAGGACCAGATCATGTAATAGTATCGTATTCTGTCCTCCTTTCGACGGACCGATGAGGTCGAAAAGTTTGCGATGTGATTACACCCCCGGTCAAATGACTCCATGACCAAGTATTCGTGTGGACGCGATAATGCTACTCTACCGCTTTTGATGCCTCTGTTTTTGTCTTGTTTGCTTTCTTCTCTGGTGATCTGGTTCTGTGGGACAAATCGGACCTTGATTCTGCTTACTTTATGTTCTTCTACGGGTGAGTTTGTGATTGACCATGGTCTGGCTTTGCTCTGTCTCCCACATCTTGGGTGGGGTTTCCACTAGAAGATTTCGGTTCTGGAGAGGCTCCTTACTTCATTTTCGAGTTGGCTTTGGTAGAAATTGCAATACCCGATCGTTTAATGTTACGCCAATGCCAATATTCTCGCCGTTCGCGGCATTAGTTCCTCCCTTTAATTGTTCTTATCAACACGTATTCTGTCATCTGGTGTCTGCCATCATTATCCATTTCAAAGGGCGCTGGCTGGTAGAATCTACGTAAGTGCATCACAAGACAGCAAGGCTATAGCGAGACTGTCGCTTTTCTAGTTACCACATAGACTATGGTAGACTGGGTTTCAGTTGCGTTACTCCGTACCAGTGCTGATCGTCTGCAGTACAGAACCCGTGGATCACCGCCGATATTTATCCCCCTCACTATATATTATCTTGAATGCTTCATCTCTTCTCTAGGCTTTCCGCTCCTCTCTATCTTTAAGCCCTTGGAATATATAACATTACTTACCACACTATTATGTCTACAAATTAAAATAATATCCAACGGTCTACTTGAGAGATAAAAAAATTAAGACAAAATAACCATAAGTCTTCATCCCAACATAATGATATTTCAGCATAACCTAAAATTTTCTTTCAACTCATAATAACTCATTGAACAAAGCGCAAAACAAACAACCGATCTAGGAACCTGATCGCGTAAAGCCAAAAGCAAAGCATTGCATTCGAAAGACCATCTCAGGGTCTTCGAGAGGAAGGATAAAAAGTGAACTCGAACTCAGGGTAAATCAACCAGGGAACCGAAAACGCCCCGGGGGAATAACAAAAAGGGGGGACATAATATGATACAGACGAAGAGAAATCGATGAAACTTGAACCTGAAACTCAAGCGAGAACGAGACAAAAGGAAATTCGAACAAAGGAAATGCATAACCATAACATAACCACGCACCCGGTCACCTGAGACCTATAAAACCCTGACCCACGCCCTAACTTGTGGATTGTGATCCTGTACCTGTTACCTGTACGCCTGCTTATCCGATAATGTGTCCGACCTTGGGTACTTTGAACGCCAGAAATGATCATTCTTTGTGTTTTCTTCGTGCATGGGAAAACCGAGTGACCGTTAAAAACAAAGGGAAGACATTGCAACAAAGGAAACAAAGAAAAAAAGAAAAAGGAAAAAGGAACAGAAAACAAGGCAGATTGTAACAAGGGAGTGAATGAGCATGTATGTCATGAAACATACATGCTACTGGTCGGTAGTTGCAAATATTTACAGAAGAATTGAAATGTGACAAGTGAGATTTAGTACACTTGTCGGTGGAACCAGCCTTATTGGCCATCCAAGCATCTATGCTGGGACGTTCGCTGGTGGGTAGTGACCCGGAATCTTGAGCTCAAGGGTGGACACACTGTTTTTGGTCGCAGCGGGGGGACGCTTCATAGGCTCGTTTGAGTGGACGTTGCCCGGACCAGGAGCGTTGACGGGCACTGCCGTGGTTGATGAAGCTGTACGGACAGAGGGCGGCCCATGTCCTTTGTTCCAGCTGGCAGTCATAGGCTCATCGGGTCCGTATGCTATCGATTCCGGTCTCTCATCTATCGAGGTGGGGACAGTGTTGAGAGTGTGATCTGTCACATTTGTAGTTGTGGGCGCAGTCGAGGTGCTTTCGCCCCGATTTCTCTGTCGTGTCAGCGAGCTTTCACGAGAATTGGTTGTCTTCAATCCTGCAATCAGGTTGGGAGCCATATTCCCTCTCTCAAATCCAGCGGTATCTTGGGTGTTATCATAGATTTGCTGAGCCTGCACTTGCTTCTGATGGCCGGTTGTGTTCATCCAGCCGCCATAGTAGCTGTCGTGTCTCTCGAAAGGTTGGCGTGTGGTTTCACCCGCCTGGCTTGAAGGCTGCACCTGGTCTATATCCATGTCGCGTTCAGATATAGAGTGACATGTGCTTTGGAGAGGCGATTTAGCATCGGGCAACGACCCGACGGCGGCCAACAGATCTTTCTCGCCGGAGCTCTCTCCACTTGATGGCGACAGTGGGGCCTGTAAATGGCGGTCGATATGCACATCACTGGGGAAACGGCCGCCCGGTTCACGCGGCTGAGATGCCGGGCGTTCTTGGTTTAAAACCACTGATCCTGCCGAGTAGGGCGTGCGATCCGCCTCATCCTCATCCATAACCCTATCACTGCTGGTAGACGTCCGACCGAAACTTGCACCACTTACAGTGCGCACATGTCTCCTGACAAATGCATTCCTTGCTTCACCGGTCTTGGAGATTAGGCTTTCGACGTCTTCGTACCACGCCTTCATCGTCTCGTGCGACTCGGCGCGGAATACCCATGAGTGGCCCCGGTGCATCGTCCCCGTTTGCCGCCCTTTCAGCATGAATTTGTGAGATGTGGAGCCCGGCTGCGAATGCGAACCAAGCTTTTGCTCCGGGAGATACAGCGACATCACTGGCGTCTGCCAGGCCACTCGATCGGCGGACTTGAACTCGTGAAGATGAGTCGGAGACAAAACATACCTGTATCATGTTAGTGACAAGAACAACGTCGAGAAGGGAATTATGGGACCCACCAGCCAGGCGTGTAGCTCTTGAGATACTTGCTCTTACGTTCAAGCATACCGGATCTGACCTCTGCAGCGGCGGGATGGTCTTTACCAGGGTAGGAGATATTCTCCACGTCCCGAAGGGGAACTCGTGGATCGACTAACTCGTCAGTCTCTGCGATGAACGAGTTCCATTCGTGGTCGTGTGGCATCGAGATGGGGCCCGCTCGAAGCTTCTCCGCGGCATCGTACGCTTCGTCGGCTTCCCGTGTGAGGATGTTGGCGTAAGTTTTGTATGCCTTCTGGATTTCGCTAACCACGATGGATTCCAATTCGCGACCAGAGTTTTCCAAATTCAAAAACGCCTGCATCACAAATTAGCAAATGTTAATGTGACCCATGATGCAAGGTCCCATACTCTATGCAAATAGTTTTCTTCTTCAATCTGCTTTTCAATCTGCTTATCGACACTCAAACGGACGATAAACGGGTCTCCCTTTCCCGCCGTGGCTGCAGGATCCGTGTCGACCAGGCCTAGGGCTTCGTGTAGGTGGCGGACGGATTTGCGGGTGGCGTCAACTTCCCTATCAACCGAGTTTCGAAAGTCGCCCGAAAGGCCCCTGATCTCCTTGGTTTTCTTTTGAAGGTCGTTTCGGAGTCCCATTAGCTGAGCGACCAACTCGTTTTCCACTTCAGCAGCTTTGCTCGCTTCCTGATACGCCTGTTTATGGAAATTCCGCAAAATATCAGTCGCGTCTGCTAGGCCGCCGGATTTGAGAAAGGTGGGCGGCAACGCTGAATTGTTGATAATATTTGACGCCGACATGAATAGTTTGGATCGAGTTTCGTAGGATCTCTGGAGTTCTTTGAAGAACACAATGAGATCCTTTAGGACCTTACGCCAAGCTGATGTATGTCAGAAATACAGATTCCTTGTGTACAAAGGGTACACAGCTGCGCTGTGCTACAGAAAAAGCCCTACCTTGAAAGCGATCTGCTAAAACTTCCGTCGGGTTCCCATTCGTAGGAACAGGGATGTAGAACGCGCTATGCTGATCTTCGGCGCCGTCGACGCTATACTTCTCCTTGTCGCCTAGGACTAGCTCCTCACACTTCCGGCGCGCATGCTTCTCTTACTCCCGCTGCGTCGCATACTGCCTCTCTTGCTGAGGGAGGACTTCTTTTTCAAAGTCCCGGATCGCGTGGGTGTCACAGAACGGGAGTTGGACATCTGAGATGCGGAACGCTGTACGGCGGCGGATGACGGGCCCTCGAACACGACGGAACCACGTTGGCTGGCGACATCGAACTCCTCATGAAATCGACCGTTATGAGTGACCGGGGGTTCGGCGACAGCCCCAGAAGCAAAGTTGTAGCCGGAGTTGGAGGCTATAAAGGAGTTCGGTCTAGAGGCGGACCGCGATCCATAACCCTGACCTGAGAATATGGAATTTGCGGGCTGTGAGATGGCGCCGTAAGTGTCCTGCAGAGGTGTCTGCGACCGGACCACTGTGGCCATGGTTGATAGGGCAGAAGAGGAGGAGAAGGAGGAGGAGGGGGAGGGGGCGGCGGCGAATGGCTTTCGACAAGGCGAGCAATTGGGCGGTGCAAACCAGACCCGTGATTGAGAGTGTGCCTAAAGTCTGACGGTTGGTCGATGCGGGCCGAGAATTTTGGTGAGAAGTATAACCAGAGACGTATGGGGAGGTTATGTATGTATATGTATGTATAGAGTAGTGGTCAAGAGGGTTCGGTTTTCTAGAAGGCGAAAAGAAGGGGAATAGGAGAAAAGATCAACAAGAGAAGGTAAAAAAAGAAACCCTATATGAGATTTGAGGAATTAAAAACAGAAAAAAAAAAGGAGAGTGATAATTTTAAAAATCCAGATCGGGTAATGCCCCAATTCCCAAGATAAACCACCAGAAACGGTTTTCTGGAATTGGTTACCCAGCGAACGGCGGTTTGGGACGTGACCTCCTTGAACTAAGGGCGCGAACTAAAAAGCGTCCAGAGGGTCTGGAGCGAACTGTTTGCGGGGGGTTCAAGGAAAAAGGTAACGACCTCCTAATCTTCGGCGATAGTGTCGCTGTCGTCGTACTCTGTCCGGCAGTAGTCACGGCCGATCCCTCATTAGAATGTGCCCCACCGGGTCTACTATTAAAGGATTCGGCGCTGGGATGGGATCAATAATCAGAATAGCCGTCTTTGGTCTGGAGGGAAAACCAGCTCATGCGATATTTGAGTTGTGGTGGTAAAGGAGAAGAAAAAGCATCGAGGATGACCAAAAGTACGATTGCAGCAATCAACTCTGACCCAAATGCACCAGCTGAGAGAGTGAGGGGTTATCTAAGTACTATCTGGTTAAGGCCTTTGGACGGTTCCGGATGACGTCTACGCCCGGCGAAAAGACTTCAAGGCAGATGCGACGTTATGACGACCAAGAACTACTACTGGTTCCCCAAACAGTGGAACGGACTCCCCGGACCCTAACCAATCTTCGGCGTGAGCAACGGACTGACTTCACGAGGAATGATTGGAAAATGGAAAGAGGAAAAAGAAGAGAGTAGAAGAGAGAGAATGGGGAAGGAGAGAGAAGCATCCATGGAATGGAAGGTAATAATGACATACCGAGGTAGAAAATATTTTCAAGCTGCAGCAACGAAGGATGGCAGCTGAATGAGAGAGAGAATGTTGATAACAGGAAAATTCACAAGTAGAGTAATTATGTTACTTACCTAGGAGAGTACTGAACTCTCTGTACTACTACTACTACTACTACTACTACTACTACTACATAGGAAGTAGTCTACTGCCAATCTCTATTGTCCGGATCGAAGAGAACAAATAGAAGAAGAGTCCTGTGTACTCCGAATGGAGTACATCCCTAACCACCTCTTTTAATCACTGGACAATAGGTTGGTCAAATAATAATGTTACCGACTCAGGGTTAGTGTGAGGTCGGTATACTAGCCGCACCCATGTCCCTCGTCAGTGTCTCCTCCTTTTCTTTTGATTACTATACTATGTACTCCGTATTCTATTTCTCTTAGTCTTAGAAAGCGTACCAGGTCAGAGAATATTAGTTTGATTACCATTTCTATTATTAAAAATTACTACTGGAATTAAAAAGAAAAAAAAAAATGCCGTTGCCTGTTCACCAGCAACGAACCATTTTTTCTGCTTGGGTTGATTCAGGAGCATGCAGTAGTGTCAAGCCTATATTGATTTAATCAATATCCAACAAGACAGAAACAATTCTCAAAATCTAGCGAGGCAAATAATTACAGGATGTCGCCAACTAGTCCAAATAAAAATATCCATCGTCATCGTCACCATTCTCAGTTTCTCAAATCATTCGCTCCCCTGGACCGAGCGGACAGTGGCTGGGTCAGCACTTGAGAGGGCTGACCTGTGGCTATGGTTCTTCCCCCTTGGCTCATATCAATCAATACGCCAATCAAACAATCCGATCCATTTCCCAGTGGATCGAATTTAATCATACGGAGGAAATCATCATCGACTTGCATCTTCCTAGCGTCTGCATAATTGTTCTTCAAGTCTTCGTTTGGTTCCTCTCCCACCCCTTTTCCGACCTTCCGTCCAGTGGCAATATCTCCACTAATTTCTCACCCTCCTATAGGTTACGAAAGAAAAAGGAGATATTCGGGCCGTGCTCTTGACTTCCTCTCCGGGATGCGATGAGGCAGCAATTACAGTAGACTCCCGAGAAGTTGAAAACTAAAAGGAAAAAAAACCTTCTATTCGACGTCATGCACGGTTCATCGCTTTCCATGTCGATCAAGCCGGAAGGTTTCCAGAAGACTGGTTCGGGCAGATTCCCGTTCATACTTACTGAAATACTCCTAATTGAATTTTTTTCCTTCCCATGCCTGACTAAGGTGTAGGACTAACTAACTAACTAGCATAGTATACTATACAAAAGTACATCTTCTACTACCAATTGTATCAAAGCGAAGGATGATGCACGTCCTTCCCCCTTTTTTTTGCAATAGACAATTTAGCACCTCCACCCACACTCCCTTATTCATGTTTACATCTTTTCATGAGATCCCTCAGAAGGGTCTGAAGTTGTGACAGACCTTGCAGATGGCCGTGATTAGTCAATCCTGTCGTAAAACCTGCTGGTCTGATTCATGGAGTTACATTTCCCAGCATCGTACCACAGAAGCCACCGCCACCGTCTTTTGTATACATAGAACTCCCAAATCAACCATAGGGTAAAACTCTCGTAGTTGCAGCAAAGGTTGTCTGTATACTGCCGGAGGGTTACGGCGGCGAGTCAAGGAGGATGATATCAGATCCCCTGACTTTCCCCTGCATCAACCTTGCATCCCTTGAGTTCGCTTCAATATAGTAGATTGACAGCGTTCTGTCAGTTCCATAGATCAGATGGATAGGGCGTTCCGGGTTTCCGCTGTCTCTTACATTATCCTTAGGTCAGCCCGATGCCGCCGGATACCTGAATATCAAGGCTGAGCTGATTTGATAAATCCGCCATGTGATTGGTCGGCCACGCTCCAGACTCCGTCATGGATGAATGTAGTAACCATGCCACCTTACATAGTGCCCCTACAAGCTTGTATCAACATTATGAAGCTTAACGATCTAGGGCCTGTAATCGCTTCAATGGTGAAACTTGCTTTTGCTCTATTTCAGGGCACGCTGTTGATCCTCCAAGCATGGGTTGATCCTTATCGCATATTCTTGCAGATTGACCGCCGCTGGTCTCTAACATCCCTCACTGTTTCACCCTAAATATAATCGCAATGCACAGTGAAGAATGACACGGCATACATAGCTCAGCATATAATGTGTTGGCTGTGCGCAATTGGTCCCTTACGCTAGAATTATAGTTGGGCCGCCACCCATGCTCCTACGTTCATGTTGGTCAAGTGACTGAAAGACATCAACAGAGAAAACATGACCAAGGAACAATGCAATCTCCAGTAAAGAATTTTGCCAAAGTTGCTAGCTAAACGGGTTCGACATATAAGGGTAATTTTACACAAGGATACTGGGAATCGGCAGATTGAAAAGAGACCTGGAAACCAAACTATATTCATGAAGCGGGAGCCTGGGATGTGGGGACCTCGATACCGTATGCTTCCTTGATTCTCTGTGCCCGTCTCTCGGCGTAGCAGGGCCATAGAGACCTATAGATCACATCAGCGATAATGTACCTTTCTATTAAAGCCATGACAAATCTGATGGACATACCTCGTCCCTCACCCAATTCAGCAAGGGTCTGCTCGCCCGAGGTTCTGTAAGACTTCCGCAATTGCTCCCGACGTTCGAACTCGTCAATATCGGCATTCTTCTTGTAACCCCACAACGATCCGCCGGTGTATTCGAAAGTGCCCATGGCGGTTGCCAGTGCAGCACCATAACCGAGAAGGGCGGGGAAAGTCCGGGCTGCACAGCTGTTAGAATACCGTGACGCAATTGCAAATTGAGAGAAGATAGGAACACAGACCTCGTAGACCCAGAATTGCACCAGAGAAGAAACCACCCAATGCGACGTTCCAGTGATCCTCCTTCTCCCGCAGATTGGCGGACGCCGTCTTCACGAACTCATAGGTACCTCCCATTGCCGCTGGATAACAGTTGTCAGCAAAGTCGAGCCTAACACTGGCCGATTCCAATTGCATCCATACCGAAGACACCGATTGTGCCGCCGCTCCTCACGAAGACACCGAATGGCCCAACGTTCTTCCTGGTGAGGGTGTTCTGAACTGCCGAGGCGAAAAGACCCACTCCACCAGTGAGCATAGTGGTCTTCATTGCCGCCTGGATCGCATCCTTAGGATGGTAGCTGTGGTCTTCAGTATGTCCAGCCATGGTGGCGGTTGAATCTGGAATGGGCTTCTGCTTGTAGTGGGCGAGTCGTTCCAACGGTTCGCTGGGATTTTGGGAAGTCGCGGTTTCTGCCATGTGACACCGCCTTCCCCGGGCTATCCCAGAGCTTCATGTTTAGTGATGGGAGAACAGATGGCTTTGTTCACCATACGACTTTGTCGGTCTCTTTCTCTGAGATATCTGATTTCGATCTATAATAACTGTTCCTTCTTTTAAAACGATCTCAAAAATCAACCGCGTCGGTGGTGGTGAATCCATCTCCAAAATTGCCGCCCGCTTGCTCCAACTACAGTGGGCTCCCCGCCAGCCCAGCTGCCAACGCTCATTCTATCAGAATCGAATGATTTCTTGGCTTTCAGGTGATTAATCACTGCAGATCTACGTCTAAGAGCAAAATAATAAAAACCATCTTTATGGAAATTTTTCTTTGAAAAACTCTGGATCCCTCGGCCTGATCCCCGCCAACTGTGAGCTCAAACGAGCGTCCCCATGACGTCCTTTCAACGGTCAGGCAAGTAGCTTCGCCCGATGCGGGAGCGCATTGCTTTCCTATGCACACGGTACTGACATGGACAAACCGACGACCAGGCAAGACCGCCCCCCGTCTTGTACAAGATATATACGAATATGATCCTGCTCACCCTCCAGCGACCGGCCGCAGTCTGCTTGCGGACGTCCCGCCAGTGTTTCCTGAATACTACAATGGACCACTAGAACACATCTCATCGGCCGCATGCCGCCATAACTTTGTGTCGAAACCAGCACAGAGTTATGTCCCTCAGTCGGAGCAAGGCAACCCTGGAGCCCCTACAAAGGTGTCGGCCGTGTGCTTGAGGTGCCGTTATCATTTGCAGGTTGATGTGAGCTCTACGCCCGGTATTGGTCAATCTAGTGCGAGATTTTCAGACCACGTACATCATCTGGTATATAAGTCCGGAAAATACAGAGGCGGCGCTGTGCCGGAGGAGGTCAGCCCCAAGGGCCAGTTGCTGGAGACATTCCATTATGAATGTTCATATCTGTCTTGCTCCGTTGCAGTATCTGTGCGGTTCGCCTCGCCTGTCCTTAATGATGACCGGGTGCGACTGTTGGTAGACCCCGAAGTGCTGCGAGAGCGGGCGAACGAGGCATTTGCAGCCCATCCTGACCGTCTGGAAGGAGTTGCTCCGCCCGCACCTATCAATGTCTTGCTGAACCTGCGTACATATATCAGCAACGCCCTTCTTGATAGCCAACAGAGCAAGTCAATCTCAGCGGTTAATAAAAGGTTCATGACGTGTTTCGGAGTTGAAGGGAAGCCCTGCAAAGACTTGTTAGAATTCCTGGGATTTAGCTCTAAGGTTTGTAAACTTGCACTGTAACACGTGCTTGCAAGTTGCAATGTGGTTAATACTTTGACCAGAACGAAGGCTTTTGGGAACCTCCTCGACCGAATCCGTGGGCAGAGTTCCCCTATCGCGACCAACTCAAAATATTTCTTGATGACGTTATACACGAACTTACAGCGCTCATAGAACAGAGGCCAGTAGTAGAAAGGAAGGGCCACCAGCTAGAATTTAATCGTCAACCGGTCTTCAACGATCTCCTCTATTCATTGGAATCTTTGGACTGTAAGTGTATGCCAGCAACTCCTACCATGGCAGCCTTGCTAATAATACTTAGACCCGAGGCCTCACGACCAAGTGAATTTCAGATGGCTCCTCAACCGTGTGTCTCAACTGTGAATTGCACCCCTGTGAACGAATGCTAATCATTCAACAGTTACTACGAAGACCTGGGTGTCGTTGAGGACATGGCGGCTTCATTAATCATAGAGGCCTTTAACCGACAAGTGTCCGTTGATCCTAGTAGGACTCCTGTCTACCTAAAGTGTCTGAAGTCAATTGGAATTCTCAGAGGAGGGGAAGATGGTTCACTTATAGACCAGGCAGTTCAGGTAGCCTACTCCGAAGGGAAGTACACCGAAGAGGACGTAGTTGATGCCTACAAATACTTTGGTCTAAGCCACGATGACCAGCGACTCACAGAAGAAAGCATAATTGGGAAGTTCTATGCTTATCTAGGTGCCACTACTGCTGTTCAAGAGACCGAGACCCGTAGACAGCTATGGAGGATAGGAGATAGCAGACGGAGTGAGCGGATCAAGGCAGCAGCGGAAGAAAGTACGACTGAGTTAACCCAACCAGAAATGGCTCTCAATGAGATAACTAACGGTAATAGGGGTGTCAACTGCTGAACAGGCCCAAGTTTTCCTTGGCGTTAGCGCTGACACATCTGATGATTTTGTTATGGCAGTTTACACAGCCAAAGTATTTCTTTGATGCCTGAAACCTAGCTTTGAGCCTTTGTGTGCTGACTTAACCCAAGGTCAACGACAATCCATCTAGCCGGGATCTTGCTCGCCGTGCAGTCCAGCTGCTAGCTGAGGAGCGAAAATCGGAAGCCTTGAAGCATTTTCTCAAGACTGGCGAAATGACTGCCGGTGAGATGGGCGTTGCTGATGCCTATCGTCTCCTTCAGATACCCGACCGCACCGTGGATGAGGGGGCAATCATGGCAGCATATACGATCTGTGTGGACGAAGCTCCAGGACAAGCTGAAAACTACAACCAGGCGTTGCGGATTATCGCGAAAGATAAGAACAGCCCTCTGCTGAGCAATATGATTTCTGGTTCCGCCACTAAACCTGACCGTAACTTGGCTGAATGGCCTGTCGGACTGCAGAATATTGGCAATACCTGCTACCTCAACAGTCTGTTACAATTCTATTTTTCAATTCGTCCATACCGTGATATGGTCTTGGACTTCGAGAATTTCAAAATGGACATCCATGAAGATATGTTGAGCCAAAAACAGGTGGGGTCTCGCAAAGTGTCGCAAAAGGAGGTTGAGCGGTCCCAACGGTGTAGGTGATGTTTTTGTTTTCTTGTGCGTGTTCGATGTAAAAAGCTCACGACTATATGCTTCAGTTCTCAGAGAATTGCGAACTCTCTTCAACGACATGATCACTGCCCAATCAACTTACGTTGTTCCCACCCAGGAGCTGGCGCGGTTGACGCTGATCAGCCCTTCCAACGAAGCTGCTATTCGTCGCCGGTCGACGATATCTGGAATCAGACCCAGTGCTCTTGGTGAAATCAACGGTGTGCCAGTTATGGGACCTCTCGGGCCCCCACAGCCGACTATAGAAAGTGAAGCCAATGAGCTCATAGCTCCGGAGCCAGAGAAGCCCCAACGCTCAACGACAAGCGATGTTGATAGCGAGACAACCCTTGTCTCTGATGGTACTAGGATTGATGCGACGGTCCCGCTGCCTAATGACAAGGAACCTGAGCCCCTACGTGCAGATTCTACGAAGATGGTCGCGCAGGGCGAATCAACCCCTGAGGCAGTTGAGTACCAACCATCCGACAGACCGGCTTCTGCTGAGCAGAATGAGCAGAATGTGCCATCTAGCCAGCCTCCTCCAGTCCCGCCACGGCCTGGTCCGCAACCTGATCCGCAGAGGCAACTTATAGAGGAAGTAGAGATTGGGGCTCAGCAGGATGTGACAGAAGTAATCAACAATGTGTTGTTCCAGAGCCAATGTGCCATCAAACCAATCTCGCTTGCTCCAGATGGTGAACAGCTCGATCAAGTGAAAGAGTGAGTTTGATTACCTATTTATCTCACGTTCTGGGCTAACCTATGCTGTCCTTCAATAGCTTATTTTACGGTAAAGCCAAGTCCTACATCCAAACACCTGAAGGTGTACGATCAAAGGAAGAATGGTGGTGTGATATTAAAATCGACGTCGCGACTGGATCACGAGATATCTATGCTGCCATTGACGGTGCTTTTGACGTCCAGAAAGTTAGCGTAGATAATTCGGTGGCGGAGCAGTTCAGTGCAATCAGCAAGTTGCCGCCAGTTCTCCAAGTTCAGGTCCAGCGTGTCCAGTTCGATCCTGTCAAGAAGCGCTCCTTCAAGTCCACCCACCATTTAGAATTGAAGGAAACTATCTACCTTGATCGGTATATGGACACTCAACAACCCGAAATCTTGAATCGCCGTCGCCAGTGTTGGGAATGGAAAAATGCATTAAGAACACTCGAGGCTCGTCGAGCCGAGTTGCAACGCCAAAGTGTATGAACCCACCGAAGGATGGTTTTCATCCACCGTGAAGAGATGTTCTAACTACTCACAGGAGGCTGATGGCCTAGACATACCGAGCTTATTCGACAATGCCAAGGATGTACTAGAAGAGCTGAACTCTATGAAGGAGGACCCTGAGACCGCAGCAGATGCGGTTCCTATCAATCCAGAACTTATACCTGAGCTTAATCAACTTTCTCAGATAGCAAGGGCAGAGCTGAACTGTATGTGTCACACTATTTACCTTTCTCTGCTCTCATCTTTTCTAAGCTCCTATATTGTTCTGACATATGGTTTGTTTGTTGTGGAACATTTATACTCATGTGTTTTCTAGACATCGAGCAAGAGATCAAGGATTTACAAACTATGATCTCAAGCCAGTTTGCTGATTACAAACATTTGGCCTATCGTCTCTACGCTGTTTTCGTTCATCATGGCTCCGTTGAGTTCGGGCACTACTACATTTACATCTGTGACTTTGAACGGAATGTTTGGCGGAAATATAACGACAACTATGTCACCGAGGTGCACGACCTGGATGAAATATTTACGAGCCAAGACCGCCAAAATCCCCCGACTCCGTACTTCCTAGTATATGTCAATGCCACTATGAAGGACCGTCTAGTCAGTCCTCTTTGCAGGGAGATACTCGAGTCTCCCCCAGACGATCAGCCGAGTGTTGACATGGCAAATGATACTAAGGCGGTTACTGCGCCGACAGCTGCAGAAGATGTGGATATGAACCCACCGGCGTACGATGAGATATGGACTGACAAAGGCACATCAGGTACGGAAGATAACCACCATATAGAAGATAAAACGGGCCCCACTGGCGTGGGGGGCAACGGGGTCACTGGCAGAGGGCCGTCAAACAAAGACACTGACTTCCATGATGTGCAATGGTAGGCTCTGAGACAATACTTCCAACCGGGGTCGCGACACTGAATCCATTGAAACGGAAAGGGTTAGATGATGTAGCTGGCTCAACTAGCTAAGCTGAGTGGCCCTCTGTACAGCGACATCTGACCGTGATCCCGTGCCTGGTGCACTTATATTTATGAAACTACCTATGTCATCCGTTCTATGCTGTACAGATGAGGGTTTACAGTTATCTTCAGCGGAACATGTTGTTTTGAAGTGAAGGCCACGGCAACACCCATTGATCAAGACGACCTTTTTGCCCTCGCCATTCTTCCCAAGCTCAATCCAATGAGGTCATACTTAATTCAAATTACCTTGGACGTTTAAGCCGTACCTATGGCCATGCATACATCGACCACAAGCCGCCCAAACATGCATTTACAGAACCTTCATGGCAGTTGTGTGATGTTGAGTAATTGTTGTTTGTACATGGGAGCGGGTCGGTACTTATTGTTCCTGTAAATAGCGGGTGATACCATTAGTTATGACTGTCTAATGATGTACAATGACATTTATCTGTGTCTAATTAGTATAGTCTGGTTGTACGCTCTTTTATAACCACGTGACTCGGACTGCGCCTAGATATGCTGATCCGACAGGCGGGCCGCGGATCGGAAACGGAACATTGCCCGCCATCGGCAGTCCACATCGGCAGTACAATATGCTGCCTTCATTCCGGAAGTCGAAGAGCTACTGGCTCATAGGATTGAGGTTGGCGTAAATAATGCAGAATACTTTTACGATAGGGATTGTACAACGAAAGCGCGGTTATTTCGAGTAAAGCAAGTGATGGATAAGAGCTTGTTGCCCGATCTCCAACGATTGCGGGGAAATTCCGGGGCACTAAGGTAACACCCGTTACGGGTAACTTTCCGCACCTCCGCAGGAAGCCGCCCTTATTTCCGAAGACAGTATATATCCGTTCGTACTGCTCCTTAGCTCACGAGCGTAACTGGGACATCCTGACCCGCTGATTCTCAGTGTCTTCTTAAATTCTCACGAAGAGACTAACTCCTGCCTTGATCAGTTGCCACTCCTAACAGCAGACTGTAGTGCTTTCTGCGCGTCTAACCCCGCTGGGATCTCAGTTCACCATGCCTTCACAAGTTGCTACGTGCCTGCGCCTTGCGCGGCAATTTTCTGCAGACCCGAGCAAGGTAGTGCTCTCAATTCAGTGATATCGAGGCAGGATCATACTGACGAGTCTTCTACTAGCATCAACGATTCCTTGCGCGTGCATTCTCCAGCAGCGTCCGCCGCTCCGAGATCAACAAGGTTGTGTCTTCTGCGGAATTAGCAATCAAGGACTTGAAGCCCAACTCGACCGTTCTGGCAGGCGGTTTCGGTCTTTCTGGTGTACCGGATACTCTCATCAATGCTGTGCGAGCGAACCCTTCTATCACCGGGTTGACGGTGGTCAGCAACAACGCTGGCGTGGATGGAGCGGGTCTTGGCCTTCTTCTCGAATCCAAGCAGATCTCGAAGATGATTGCCAGCTATGTGGGCGAGAACAAGACCTTCGAGCGCATGTACTTAACTGGTGAGATTGAGTTAGAGTTGACACCACAGGGCACCTTGGCTGAGCGTTGTCGGTCGGGCGGTCATGGAATCCCTGCTTTCTACACACCTGCCGCTTTTGGTACGGTTGTGCAGACAGGTGAGCTGCCTTTGAAGCACAACGCCGATGGCACCGTCGCTCTGCGGAGCAAGCCCCGCGATGTCAAGGTCTTTGATGGCAAGAGCTATGTCATGGAGGAGTCTATCAAGGGTGACTATGCCTTTGTTAAGGCTTACAAAGCCGATAAGTTGGGCAACTGCCAGTTCCGTTATGCTGCTCAGAACTTCAACGGGGCCATGGGCCGCAATGCTAAGATGACAATCGTTGAGGCGGAGCACATTGTCGAGCCTGGTGAGATTGAACCGGCTGCTATTCATCTGCCCGGTATCTACGTCAAGCGTGTTATTCAGAGCACGACACCAAAGAATATCGAGAAGTACACCTTTGCCAAGGAGGAGGGTGAGGACACTGCTGCCCTGGGCAAGGGTGACACCGCCGCCAAGCGTGAACGTATTGTCCGCCGTGCGGCTAAGGAATTCAAGAACGGGATGTACGCAAACCTGGGTATTGGTATGCCCATGCTGGCGCCCAACTTCGTTGATCCTTCCGTGGAAGTCCAGCTCCAGTCTGAAAACGGTATTCTGGGATTGGGCCCCTACCCTAAGAAGGGCCAGGAAGACCCGGATCTTATCAACGCCGGAAAAGAGACGGTTACGCTTGCGCCCGGTGCGGCTTGCTTTGGTAGTGACGAGTCTTTCGGCATGATCCGTTCAGGAAGAATCGACTTGACTATTCTGGGCGCCATGCAGGTGAGCGCCAGAGGTGACTTGGCTAACTGTAAGTTCTTCTGCATATGATCATCTTGTGTAAATCTTTGGCATCTGTCCGTACTAACCGTGGCATGATAGGGATGTTGCCCGGTAAGATCAAGGGCTTTGGCGGTGCTATGGATCTGGTTTCCAACCCCTCCGCTACAAAGGTGGTTGTGACTATGGAGCACACTGACAAGAAGGGCAACCCTAAGATCGTCAAGCAGTGCGAGTTCCCATTGACCGGCAAGACTTGTGTCAGCCGTATCATCACTGAACTCTGTGTCTTTGACGTTGACTTCACTGACGGTCTTACCCTGGTTGAGCTTGCCGACGGTGTCACTGTTGATGAAGTCCGGAGCAAGACAGAAGCTCCGTTCAAGGTTGCTGATGATGTGAAGCCCATGCTGTAATCAAGTCCTTTTATACTCTTTTTGTTTGCATGTCTGGATGTCACCAATTCGCAAAATTATGGGATTTATAAGCGTATAGTTTGTGAAGTCATGTCGGGTACGGGATCTGCTGTATATACCAATCTTTCAGAAAACAGTTCAAATCATTCGAGAATATGTCTTGGACAGTAACTGTACATTGCCCCCACCAGAACATATCAAGATAAACGTGATGCGGTGAAAGTAGTCTTTATCCGCGATCTATATTCCCATCGCAGTAGATAATAGTAGTACATTGAAACATAAGTATACAAACTCCTCAAGCCATCCCTAACTTCCAATATTGCAGCACCCTAGCTAAACCTGAAAAGACCCTTCAACCTCGCACTTACTCTCCCCCAGAAGTCCCTTGTCGGAGCCTCTGAGAACTCTTTAATTACATTGTCATAGTAGTCTGGGTTACCAGTCGGTCGCCGCAGCTTAGGAGACAATGGGTACCGTCGGGAATAGCGATCTTCCAACAGCGACGACAGTGCATTCAAAGAGGCTTCTGAAAGAGGCGGAGGTGGCGATTGTGAGGACGGTTGTTGCGGCTGCTTAGAAGGGTTCTCTGAGGTCTGAGGGAGGTGGGACTGGAGGTATGTCTGAACAGAGACGGCTGAAGGGCGGACATGGTCAACGGGCCAGTGTTTGAGAAGGTGGTTAATGCGCGTGATGGTTTGGGCCTAAAACAGTTGTCAGGTTACTGTTGGTTGATCTAGTTTGGTAATTCAAGCAAGACATACCGGTGGCTTGGACATGATGGTTGTGACTGTGATTGATGAGCGAGAAAAGCGGTCTGTTAGGAGATATAGAATTTCGTAGAAACACCAAACGCCTGCGGGATTATCCCGGACAGTTCAATTGATTAAATGGGGTGTGATGGGTTGTCGGAGTAGCGATATCTAAATTATTTTGATATGATCTACGCGGGCAAAAAGTCAAGTCACGGGGATGGGCGGAATGCCCCAGGCAGCAGCAGCGGCCGTCAGCCACTGACAGAGGCTCTCTCCACTCCGTCATGTAATCGCCCTCATTTCCATTCCATCCTCCATCTACAGTCGATCCCTTTCCATCCTCATCATCGCTTGCCCTCGGACACTCTTTATTCCTTGTCTTCTTTGTTCGTAGTACTATAAGGCCTCTGTTGTGAACATTGGTCCTCTCTCTTTACCGCCCATCCCCTCTCTTTCCGGATTTCCTTCCCTCGCTCAGCTTGTCATGAGCTCGCAGCGCTATCAAAGGGTAAGAGTCACCCAGCGCCCTGGAACGGTTGCAGGATGCATAGGAGTTACCGATAAATAGTGAAATTCTTCGGACGGGTTGCTTATTTGGTGATTTCTAGGTAAACGCCCACGATGAAGATGAAGAACCGCAATCACAATCGTCAATCCCTCTCCGGGGGACACCAAACTCTCCACCTCCCTCGTTTCGCTCTCGTTCCACCTCTCCATCATCCAGACGCCTTCTCCATGACGACCCCCTAAACAACGATGCAGATCAGACGCTGGCCGACGCATTTGATGACGAGAGTGACTCCGAAGCGGATGAGCCGGATGACCGTCAGCGACTAATGCGGGCTCAGCCGGATTCGCGACCAGTGGCAGATAGCAGCAGTGCGACCGCTAGTTCGTCATCTGGAGTGGGTAATGAACAGCAACCGCCCAGTGAACAGCGTAGTGGGATCCAGAGGAGGCAGACAATTCTACCGAGTTTCAGTACTGGTAGCCGAGTGATCAGGTCCACAAATGACGGTGTCTTTGCAAACCTGGCGGCTAAGCCAGAGCGTGGAGAGAAGACCGAAGACCTTCCTCCGGTGTGTATTCACCTGCTTTGTGTTGAGTGATGCGTATTCTTTTGAGTCCGTGCTAACGCCTTGTGTATAGTCCTATGAAGAGGCGGCTGCTGACGCTACCCCTCCGTACTGGGAGACTACGATTTTGGCCCCCGGGATCTCATCCGACGAGGTGTACGTGGATGGGTTACCAGTAGGGTCCGTTTTTTCGTTTGTCTGGAATGCTATGATCTCCATGTCCTTCCAACTGGTCGGTTTCCTCCTGACATACCTTCTCCATACTACACATGCGGCGAAGAATGGAAGTAGGGCTGGTCTCGGTCTTACTCTCGTACAATACGGATTCTACATGAAAGGCGGCAGTGATACGAAACCGGACGATGGTGCAGACCAATACGTGACACCTCCGGACCCCAACAGCCATAATTTTGACCCTAGCTCCGTTACCGATGGATCTGGGAGCGATGGCGGCGGTGGTGTATCGGGGATCTCCACGAGTGAATGGATTTCATATGTTCTCATGATTGTTGGTTGGTTCATCTTAATCCGCGCTATCAGCGACTATCTACGGGCTCGGCGACACGAGCAGCTGGTGCTGCAAAGCCCTGACCGAGGCCTTCCTGTGCCGATCATTGCAACAAATGAAAGAACAGAGACCGTTGTTTAAGTTGCCAGCATAGTGATCTGCAAAATCTTGGACGGGTTGGAGCCTTGGAGCCTGGGCGTTTCTTTCCTTCTTTCTTCTTTTTATTTTATGCTATAATTTGCTTTTGTATGGGTAATGCGCGCTAATTCCCCCGACGGACATTCCATGAGACGTGAAGTCCTCATTTCGTTTATCTTTGAGCATGGGAACACTTGTAACTATTTGATTAGAGATACCAAATCTGAAAGACATAGCACTTGGCATTGATGCCCTATCGTTGTCACGTCTGCCATTCGCCAGCCAGGCAACCTTGTTTTTTTTTTTTTTCTTTTTTTGACCTCCCTACAATCCATTTTTTGCCTTCTCGCCTTGCCTTCCCAGTTTATTCTTCCCTTCCCAACTCTTAGTTTCTATTTTTTATAACATTTACTCATCGATCAAATAAACTGCGCTTGCCCTCGACTATCTTCACAATCTACGTAAGTCTAGACTAACCAGCGATGGCAGCGTGATTTTTGTCTTCAGCTCTTGGCGGCACTCTCCGCAGCCCGTCCGACGTCTCCGCAAGCGTTTGTTTACCGCGCCTTCGTATTTGCTCATTCATTCATTCTCTCCTTCATATTATCTCATCGACTTCTCGCCCTTTCCTTCTTGATCCCTGACGCTTGGAGATCTGTTCTCTTGTTCTCCCCCGTAAATGGCCAAGGTCGATGCAGCGGCGGATTCTCCGGCCGCCGCATCGCCAAACCACAGCCTTCCCCCAGGCCCCGTTGAGGCTCGCTCGTTGTCCTCTATTACCGCAGTAGCCTCGAATCCCCCGGCTTATCCACGGAATCCGACGCAGAAGAAACTTGATCCTTTGGTTTTGTATATCGTGAGAGTCCCGGGCAGTAAAGGTACGTCATGGTCGGTTACTGCATAGATATACCCCGCATAAGCGGTGGGAGAAATTGACCGATCATTTAATTTATTCAAGATTGGACGATGGATGCTAATTTCAACGTCTCGGGCCTGCAATGTAGATGTCTTTCTCTCTCCACTGAAACCACCAACAAAAGCCAGCGTTTCGGCTGAGGCCATCAATGCTTCCCTCTACTATCTACATGTCTCGACGCCCGAGGACGATGTCTTGCTTCAGGAATGTGAGCAAGAGCGCGAGGAAGAGGCGAAACTGCGGAGAGAGCTTGGAGAGGAAGCGGATGTTCCTCCTGAGTTTGCGAAAATGAATCAGGTTCGACGAAAGCCTGTTCCAGGCGGCGGTGGTGGCGCAAAGGTGGATGCTGATGCACGCCCTCCCCTCCCTGCTCACCGATCCAATGTGTCGCTGCCAGAGAATGTTCTACCAGTGCCAAAATTTGCGGAAATACCGTCGTCTCTGATGCCGGCTCGTCCGGGCTGGACCGGAAGTCGCTCGTCGATCGATATCCCCCAGTCCGCGACTCAGGTGACAACGGACAGTCGCGATCCTTTCCTCCGGCATACGCCACCGGGTGACGAGCCTGAAGCAAGGCCGTCCTTACCGCCTCGCCCACTTCCACCTGTCCCGAAGGATGAGCTCGCATTTGAGCTGGTCGAGGACAATTCTGCGCCGAAGAAGGCCAATCGTTGGAGTGCCTTGTCGGGGTATTTGCCCGGACGAAATGCGGAAAACTGGAAGGAAAAGTATGAGGTCCTGACCTCAGGCCGTCACAGCCTCGACTCCAGGAGACCTCAAGTGCGACCACAATCGGCTCACGCGAATCCATCATACAATCGCATGAGTTCTCCAGCGAGAAGTCCAGGCCAATCTCCAAGCAGGAGACCTTATGACAGCAAACCGCCGGAAAGACCTGGTTTCCACATCACCCTCATCCGTCGCGATCCTACCCATGGGAGTCAATGGAATGTAGCGACAATCTCAACACCGAAAATGGACGGCGGCGCCATTGACATCGAGGTGTCCACGCCAGGGTACACCCGGTTCGCTGCGCAAAGTGAACCGCTCTCACTGGCCAGTCTGGGAATCAACCTACCTTCCGAACTGGGCAACCGCATCTCACTATCTTCGTCTCGACCTACTCAGGCTGAACTGGCAGAGAGCACCCCCAACCAACCATCGCATTCCCGAAAGTTCCACCGCAAACTCTGCGTATCACGACCATACCAGGAAGACGGCCGAGGCTCCTTAGACCCAGGAGCCAACCGACCCTCACTCGACCACGGAACCAACAGTCCCTCGAGATCCAACCTCTCCAAGCTCAAAAGCGGCTACTACACCTTCACCTCACCCTGGAACGGCACCTGCACATTCTCAACGAGCGTCAACGGCCGCAGCCTCAAATGCAAGCACATGATCCCAATGCCCTCGACAGGCCCGAACGGCGCCCCCATCGACAATCCCGCCGTAACAGTCGCCGAAATCCGCTTCAACACTCCCTTCCAAGCAGGCCATCTCCACCACCAACCAGGCCCTTCCCACATCTCCCCCTTCACCCTCAGCCAAACCCCAGCCTTCAAAGACCCAACCAGCAATCCCAACAACCACGGCCACAACCTCGACCCAAGCTCCTCCTCCCCGTCAGACCGCAGCTCAAAGCGCGCTACCCTTGCTCAATTCCTCAACCCAAACGCCTACAACCGCCCGCGCGCCCGCTCCGGCGCCTCCGCCCACTCCACATCCTCCAATTCCAACTTCGGGGCACCAACCCGGAAACCGTCAACAAGCAGCACCAGCAGCGGCGCTGCAGACCTCGAGGACGGACCCCGTCGTCCTCTGCGCCGTCCACTAAGCGACGACCGCCTCGATTTCTCGCTTGCGCGAGAAAACGCCGGGGGCGGCATGCGTGGGAAGAGCGCTAAACTAGGTAAATTGATCATTGAGGATGAGGGTATAAAGATGCTGGATTTGCTTGTTGCCTCTTGTATGGCTGTTTGGTGGAGGGGTTATTACTATTGATTGATCTTTTTTTCTTTTCTTTCAAGAGTACATGGAATGGTTGATGGGTTGACCTGACGTGCATGTGGATGGTTTTGTCTCCCTTGGTTTCATGTAGTCTTTGTTCCTATGTATGTATGTATGTATGATTGACGATTGATGAAATGATTATATATCCTCAGATTCACTGTGCTGTTACTATCAGAATTAGAATTATGTTAGTCCAAAAAGAAGAGAAGATTATGAACCACAAACAAATAATAGAGTACCATCTCGTATATGCTATACTATAATCAACTACTTCATCAGATCTATCCATTCATCAATCAAAAGATCAAACTAGCGCTCAATTGCAATGCAACTGCCGTCTTCCTCATGCACGCTTACACACAGACCCAGGTCCAATAGCCAGTCGCCAGTAGCATAGGTAAAGTCGGGTACATACAAGAACGGAACATGAGTGAACCAGTCCTCTCTTTAACCTTTTTGTATGTAAACAGGAAGGAAAAAGGAAAGGGGATACCGCTAGAAACTAACTGCATGGCATAACCAAAGGTGGGGGAACCCGTGAATATATTTATGCTCTTATCATATAGGCATCCGGAAACGCCTGCGAATTCCAGGGACGAAGATATTCACTTGGGCCAATGGATTTTATACCACCCATGCCCGTTTATTGTACGTCCATTCCACGCTGCAGCGACGATTCCAGATCGTTGTGGACGCCACCGCCCGCGGCGAGCGCCTCCTGAGGCTTGGGCTCCTCTTGCTTCCAGACGCCCTGTTGGTTCTCGGGGATTGGGACGTTGGTCTGCTGGGCGATCTGCTGCTGTTGCGCAGCAGCGGCGGCCTGCGCCTGGGACTGCTGCCGGACGACGGCACGGAAGCGCACGACTTCCTCGTAGATCATACGACGCATCTCCTGTACGTCGTCCACCACTTCGAAGTGGAAATCGAAGGTTGTGGGGCATGTCGGCTCGTCCGATGCGTCGTGCCAGATGTGCAGGTATGGGTGCTCCAAGGCCTCTTCAACCGAGATACGCGACGAGGGGTCAAAGGCCAGCATGCGGTCAAGCAAGTCAAGCGCATCGGGGTTGGCACTGGGGAACAAGCGCTGGAAGGGGATCTTGGGCATGAAAGGCAGGTTGCGTACGTACTCCTGGGCCCGGGGAGAGCCGATGCGGCTCAAGGTCTCCTCGTTCGGAGTGCCCAGGTAGTGTAGGATTTGATTGAGCTGGTCGACATAGTCACGACCCTTGAAGAAGGGGCGGCCGCCGAGGAGTTCGGCCAGGATGCAGCCCACAGACCACACATCGACTGTTGTATATCAGCAAAGTAGATGGCAAGAGAGCATGTTAGGGGCAAAAGCACATACTAGCTTTAGTATAACTCTGGAAGCTCAACATGATTTCCGGAGCACGGTACCATCTTGTCGCGACATATTCGGTCATGTAACCTGCGTTCTCTTCCGGGTCAATCGAGAAACCACGCGCCAATCCGAAATCGCAAATCTTGAGTTCACAATCGGCATTGACCAGCAAGTTTCCGGGTTTCAAATCTCTATGCAAAACATTGGCCGAGTGGATGTACTTCAGGCCACACAGAATCTGATAAATAAAGGACTGGAAGTGGGCATCGGTCAAGGGTTGTCCGGAACGGATAATAGCGGCGAGATCACACTCCATCAACTCTGGGCAAGGAAATTATATCAGTAGCTGTGCGTGGACCATGTGAAGGTGGGCAGTCCTACCCTCATACAGATACGTTTCGTTGAAGTTATCTGGGCGCGGAATGTCCATGTCATAGAGACAAGTGATCTGCATGTTCCGGTCAGCCCTATCAGCTTCAGTGGCATTAAGTTGGCACCGAACGTACATTGCGGTGGCCTCGGAAATGTTGGAGTAACTTAATTTCTCTCAAGGCACGCTTAGCTAAGATCTTCTTGCTGAAGACATTGGTGACTTTCTTGATAGCAACACCTTCACCGGTTTGAATGTTCGTGGCGGCACTAGATAGCGAAACCGGAGATCGTCGTCAGAATGTGGTGATCCAAACAGCTTTATATGATATTCATCTTCGCAAGGCCATTACTCTCGATAGATGAGGGTTGACAGAGAGACGAGTATGTCAGAAGCTTATGATGATCCATAACGTACCAGACAATACCATATGCACCTTGACCCAGCTCCTTAGTGACATTGTATCGTTCATCCACAATAAAATCCTGGTTGAAGACCTTGAAGATCTTACGTCCTCGTAGATCAGCCATGGTATCGGAGGGGCGATGGAAAGGGAAAAAAAGGTTTCCAGGGATCGACTGCTAGTAGCACAAAGGAAACTCGAGGCGGTAAAGCGAGTGTCGTTCTGTAGACGCCTAGAAAGAAATGGAGGGGGAGGAAAATGTGCGGTCGGTCCACCCAAAAGGTAGTGGGGAAATTCGCGAGTACTTTTGCTGTTGTCTCGATTTGTTTTCTGGTTTTTTTTATTTTCCTCCTTTTCCCTTTTTATTTTTTGTGTCTCAGTCAGGGGAGGGGAGAAAGACAAACAGAAGATCTGGCGCGGGCTGGCTGGTCGATGAGAGGGAAAGCAGCTTCGAATGGACGGAACGGCAGCCCCGCAGTGGGAAAGTCAATCTTCCGCCGTTGCGGCTCCTGAATGGGAATTAAGGGTTTCAAAACTTATGACAATGAGGCGCAGCAAGATGGGAATCAAAACCCTCAGAAAGAGATCCTTCTAGAGGGAGCAAAAGAGCTGGAAATGTAATGTCAGGCGAGGAACGACTAAAGCACGTTGAACCACAACCGGGTGGAAGAGGGGTGTAATTAACGCAGATCGGTTGGGGCCTTGCAGATGGGCGAGGTTCTGGCGGCACCGAACATGCAGCAGCAGTCAAATGGTCAATGTCGGCGGAGGGAGACAAGTGGGGATTGCTTGCAAGTACATACTTTGGTTCGTTCAAAGAATGAAATCATTGAACGACTTTCTTTCAAGGAAACTCGTTTGCTCAGTCTATCACTGAGCTATTGTTCCACCACACAGCGTAGAACAAACAAAACGTATAGGGTGGCGTTTATTTATCTATTGCTTAAATCATCGACAAGAAGGAAGTCACTGGATGTGCTGGTTCGGCGGTTTGCCGCCCAGGATGGGGTGCCTAAGGCCCATCCGGGGAGGGGCTCTGGTGGAGCACTGATGATGACAGTGTCACACTGGTCACACTGTCACATTCTAGCCTCAACCCACCACTTCGGGGGGAGCGGATATTCTGGTCTCAATCTGTGTTCAACCTGGATTCAACAAACGGATGCTATACAGCCTCTGAATGAATAAGGGGATTTTGACTGGCTAACATCCATCCTAATGGATAGCTTTTGTCGAGAAAAAAAAATAAAAAAGGAATCAATGTCTAAGTTTCCAAATCACCTCTATAACTTGAGGCTTCTCTCGCTCTCGAACATATATCTGGCGAACCCTGTCTGTCTCTGCAATTGCTTCCTTCAATCGGAAGGAGACCTTGCCCTCGTCCTTGCTACGCAACGGGCCCAGACTATACTCAAATGGATCCGGGCCCTTGTATTTACTGTTATCCCAGGTCTGCTCCATGGAAACCGAATCCTGCAAGGGTAGCGAGTATTTGACAACGGAAAAGCCATTTATCAGATACCAATCGTCTGACAACTGCCAACGTCGAAGCAAACAGGCTTCACCGCAGATGGCAGCCACCTTGCTGAGAGCAACCATGTCGGCGTGGAACCAGGATTTCCAATGATGCAAAGAGAGCGGCAATGGACGGCCTGACTCGTAGAACCCAGACGCATCGCCCCGAAGGTCTAACTGATGGAGGCCATGTTCCCACTTGAGTTTCACGGTAGTTTGGCTGTAAATACACCGCGCGATCATTCGATCACCGGCGCCCTTATAGTCATAGCAATTGCGAAAAACAGCATTGAGTTGTTGAACAAGGGGAATGGAGAGAAATATCCCAGCACCGCCGTACGCCATATGGCTCCCAAAATACATCTGTGCGATATCCTCGGTGAGTGCCCCTATATACTGCGGCTCCGTCGGATCATACGTCGCCAACCGTTGCACGAGATTCTCCATTGAAGGAAAGAAAGTATCATCGTCGATTAAGACAATCCACTTGGTAAGCTCATCCTTGCGCTCAAAAAGGGTCCGGAGCAAGGAAAAGTACCGATCCAGCAAATCATCCGAGTTTTGGATAACGGTGAGGCGAATATCCAGTTCCTTTGCCCGTTTTTGAGACTGCTTCACCGAGCCTTCATCATCAACCACGGCTACAATGTGTGCATTTGTTCCTCCCGCCCAGTGTGCGAAAGCATCCAGAGAATCATACAATCTCGCTGTAGACGTTGCGACGCCAAATATCATGTGTGATGCATTGGGGCGTGGAGCCATCACGGGAGCATGTATTGTCACCGATGTAGCACATCTCTCTTCTGGCAGTAGCTCTGTATGATTCTTTGTATCCAGTTGGACCGTCCGATACGTGGGAATTGGTACATCGAGTGAATCCGAGAAACCAGTAAAGTTCTTGGTTTGCACAACAGATATCTCCAATCTAGCATATTCCGCGGAGGAATTGGAAGCGTGCGTTCTCAGCAAGTCAAGATCCACATGGCAACCACTGCTGCTACTGGAAGATGGAGACGGAGCATTGGGGAAAGGACTAATATCAATATTGCTATGTCGCGAATAGAGAAGGAATGCTGCAGATATGAGCAGAAGTGAAGTGGTGGCAGCTATTACGGCAGTGGATCGGCGCCATTGAAGCAAAGGATGATAGCGCGCCTGCATCGCGACCCGAACATAGCTAATATCTCATCAATTGTTGTTCTATACGGTTGAACCCAAGTTGGACCATTTATTGTGAAGGGCAAAATCTAAGAAAAAGAAAGAAGAAAGGCGGGAGGCTTCAGTTCCAGGCCCGCTAGGGGGGAAAGAGTCAAGAAAGTGAAAAGAAAAAGAGAAAATAGTTAAGAAAAGAGACGATGTGATCCTTGTTTCAGTCAAGGAGAAAGGGCTGCCGCCCAGGGTTGCGGCTGAGCAATCCCGAAGATCCCAATCTGAATGGCATTTAGTGACGGCCGCTATTACCGTAGAAATTCCGCGGCAGGTGAGTTAATTCAACCAACTTCTCAATTGTCCTGGTTGTCATAACCACGTTGGGTATTTCGTGAAATATTTATGGTACACACTTCATGAGGGGATCTTTTCAAATATCAAGATATAGCTTTTCTCGTGTTCAAGTATATCTCTTGCATCTACAAACGCACAATACAATAAGACAAACATATTTAGACAGAGTGGTAATCTACCGTAATGGTAGATCAGATCAGTTATTGTACGCGGAACTACTAATTCTCCAAAACATAACTTATCACGTCAATTCGTCTCCCTTTGGAACATCATTGCTTCATTCAACCTTTTATCGCCGTCCCTCAATACCCCTATGCTTTCTAGTGTCTTGATGATGCTATGCGACGCTTAAACCATCATTTCTGGAACAAGCAACAAAGAAAGCGCGAAAAATGGCCTATAAAAAGCCGCTTTACAGGGAGTTGACTAGCCTGCGCTCTTTCCTGAGAGCCCGAAGCTTTTCGCGTGCCTCCTCGAGAGGAATCATGACACCTTGCTTCTGAGTTGCAGGGTCGTCACGGTTGCGGATGTTGACAGTGCGAGCCTCCTTCTCTTGAGCACCAACGACTGTTTCACTTAGTTAGTACATCACAATACCAGACTAGACATATGCTCAGCGGGGCCGTAACATACCGAAAATGAAGTTGTACTGGGCCAGCTGTCCAGTACGAATCTTCTTCTGCATGGTGTTTCCGCTAATGTCAATGTCGACATTCAGCTTATCACCGCGCAGAATAGTCTGCAGCTCTTCCACGTAGTCGTTTACAGCAGGCATGACAGGAACAATCAGGATTTGGCGGGGGCTGATCCAGAAAGGCCACTTGCCACCGAAGTGCTCAGTCAAGATTCCCAGGAATCGCTCAAAGCTACCGATAATAGCTCTGTGGATGACAACTGGACGAGCACGACCAGGGCCAGGCTCGCTAGATTTGGTCTCGCCCTCGGCCGACTCGGCAGCCGCTTGGCTCTTGTCGGCCTTTTCATTGCTCATGTACTCAAGCTTGAAGTTGATGGGGGCCTGGTAATCAAGCTGGATGGTGGCACACTGGAACTCTCGCTTGAGGGCGTCAGCGATAGTGATGTCGATCTTAGGTCCGTAGAAGGCACCGTCACCCTCATCGATGGCCCAGTCATCGCCCTTGAACTTAGTCATGGCCGCCTTAAGCTGGTCTTCAGCATAATTCCAAGTTTCAAGCTCTCCAAGGTACTTCTCTGGACGAGTGGAAAGCTTCAGCTTGAAAGTGAAACCGAAAAGCCCATAGATAGACTGAAGGAAGTCGAATAGCCCCTCGATTTCCGAGATAATCTTTATAACGTTAGTGAGATGAAGGGAAGAAAGGAGATGCCGAGGAAATTTACCTGATCCTGAGTACAGAAGATATGGGTATCGTCTTGCTGGAACTTCCGGACACGGGTGAGTCCACTTAGTGCACCAGATGCCTCATTTCTGTGCAGAACACCAAAGTCTGCAATACGCAGCGGGAGTTCTCTGTAGCTTCTCTCGCGATGACCGAAAAGGATGAAATGTCCGGGGCAGTTCATAGGCTTAAGAGCCCACTCTCTCTTCTCAACGTCAACCTTAAACATGTCATCCTTATAGTGGGCCCAATGTCCAGAAGTCTTCCAGATGCTAACATCGTACATGTTAGGCGTCTGGACTTCCTGGTAGCCGCGCTTACGATACTCCGACCGCAAGAGGGTCTGAAGAGCATTGAAAATCTTGGTACCGTTGGGGAGCAAGAAGGGACATCCTGGGGAGGCTTCGTCAAAGAAGAAGAGCTCTTGTTCCTTGCCGATCTTCACATGGTTGCGCTTTTCCGCTTCCTCCAGGAACTTCAGATGTTCTTGCATTTGCTTCTTGTCGGGGAAGGCAACACCACGAATACGCTGCAGAGAGTCGTTGCTTTGGTCACCAAGGAAGTAAGCAGAGGAGTTCTGAAAAAGCAATTAGCCTGGCGAATTTATATGATGACTTCTTAGCCCCCTACCTGCATAATCTTAAAGGTCTTAATCTTTCCAGTGCTTTGAATGTGGGGTCCCCTGCAAAGGTCGACCAAGGTACCGCATCTATAAACAGTGCTCTTTTCTCCGGTGACCAGTTTGTCGATATAATGCAGCTTGTACTTGCTGTACGCGAACATCTTTTTCAGGTTCTCTTTCGTAACTTCTAATCTGTCAAAGCTCTGCTTCTCCTTGAAGACACGGTTTGCGTGCTTGTCCAATGCTGGCCAATCGGTCTCTCTTACAACACGGCTATGGCAGTGTCAGTAACCAGTCGAGCTAAGCCTGTTTCTTTCTGGGACGCACTTATCGGGCATGGCCATATCATAGAAGAAACCCTGTGGGGTGGGAGGTCCATGGGATAGCAGACATCCATATTCACACTCGCAAGCCTCGCCAAGGCAGTGAGCACTCGAGTGCCAGAAGACTTCCCTTCCTTCGGGATCCTCGAATCGCACATAAGAGACCGTGCAGTCACCCTCCAAAGGTCGGCTCAAGTCCCAGAGTTCGTTATCGACCTTTGCAAGCACAATAGTGGCACTCAGTTCCTTGGGCACATTCTTGAGAAGTTGAGCGGGGGTGGTTTCCCAGGCTTTGGCGGGGACCTGTTCCTTATTGCCGTTGCCAGGTTCCAAGGTGACGGTGATTTCGGAGTGAGGCTTGTTCTTGGTCTCCTCGAGATATTGCTGCCAAAGCTCCTCGAAGAAGTTGTTGCGCTCAATAATGAAATCGGGTAACGAACCGGCACCTGATACGATTGACTGATTAGGAGGGGCATTCGCGATATTTGGTGGGGCTAAACATGATTTACCTTCAGCGCCCGGAGCGGACCTGACGGGCAATTCCTTCGAACCTTCAGAAGCCATGGCTGTATTGCGCAACGACAACGGAACGATCAGGGAAAAAAGTACGGGGAGGAGGGGTAGGCCAGCGACGATGACTCTTTTGCAGCATATCGGAATGGATCTTTAACCCAACCAGCAGTGAGGGACGGAAGGCGGTGAGACACGTGACTGAAAACTGCCCTGGAGGCTAGCGACACTTTACCGTTTCGAGCTTCCCACCATTTGAAAACTTCTCCAGGTTCCGTCCGTTCTTACAGGTCAATCTCAACAACCAAGTCAATATGTCTTTTCGAGGAGGAGGTCGCGGTGGCTTTGCCACTGGTGCCAATCGCGGAGGTTCCTTCGGTGGCCGTGGTGGTGAGTAACTCCAGTTTTCGGAGCTGGTGGTTGAGATGAGTGAGGACTAACGAAAATTTCGTCGGACAGGCCGCGGAGGCTTCCAGCAGCCAATGGGACCACCAGCACAAGTTTTGGGTATAGAATACCGATGCGATCCTCAGATCATGGCAGTTTACTGATGTTCTTTAGAGATGGGATCTTTCATGCATGCTTGTGAGGGCGAGATGGTGTGCGAATCGATCAACCCGAAGATTCCTTATTTCAATGCCCCTATCTACCTGGAGAACAAAGTACGAGTCACCGGAGATGTACGCTTGGGAATTAAATGAGGACTAATACGTTACTTCAGACTCCTATTGGAAAAGTTGACGAGGTTCTTGGCCCCATCAACCAGGTCTACTTCACCATCAAGCCTCAGGAAGGAATTGTCGCAACTTCTTTCAAGCCTGGTGACAAGGTCTACATCGGTGGGGATAAGCTCCTGCCATTGGAGAAGTATGAATTGTTCCTTTTATGTGTATGCTGCGAACAGTGTTGACTTGATGATCATAGGTTCCTTCCTAAGCCTAAGCCGCCACCGGGTAGGATCCCATCTACGACCAAATATATGTCGCGCATATTACTGACAACCATTCAGGTGCTGCTAAGCCTAAGAGAGCTGGAGGTGCTGCCAGGGGTGGTCCTCGCGGTGGTAGAGGAGGCCCTCGTGGTGGTGCGAGAGGTGGACGCGGCGGATTTGGCGGATTTGGCGCCCCTAGAGGCGGAGGCGGCTTCCGCGGTGGAGCTAGAGGAGGTGGAGGCTTCCGTGGTGGAAGCGGTGGCTTCTCCAGGGGAGGCGGCAGAGGAGCACCTCGTGGAGGTTTCCGACGTTAGACAGTCTCCGTCTTGCTTAGCACTGTCTTATTACGGCGTTATGGGAAAACGGGAGCTTTTGCAGGAACTTTTTGTGTCAATTTCTCTGTGCATCCTAGGTGGCTTGCCTATTCGCAAAGGCTGTAGACTAATTCAGCCATTAAATGAATGTTATTATACCAATGAAGTACCTGCCAAAATGACTTGTGCTTACTCGTAGTTCCTTAGTGATTCCGGGTTTTGTCCCGATCACTTTTTTAGATGTGGCTGGTGTATGTGGCGCAGCACGACACCGCCTGGCAATGACGTCTGGGAACACATGCCGAGCCGTAGAATCTGTGCGGCCTGTCAACATCCTTTCAACTGCAACCGCTAGCAGATCCCTCACCTTCTCGCAACTTTCCCACCGCTGTCAACATAATTCAAAGTCTCACAATTTCTATTGTACTTAATCTGCGCGTTCTCACTTCTTGTTGGACTTCGAATTGAGCATGTCTCGTAGAGCATCGGTCATGCCGTCGAATACTTCTACGAGTAGCGGTGTCCCGCCTGCCGGCGACGGAGGTAAGCTCTGATCATTGCTAGCCTGATCAAGGATATGGAAACTCAGGTTTATCAGGTCAGGAAAAGCAGAAGATGCTTTTATCGGCGGAAACAGGGCACTTCAGCTTGGTCAGGTCAGTCTTTACCTCGGCGGCATCTTGTAGTAAATCTATCCGCTGACTGAACATTCTTACGTCAGGGCTTTGCATCTTGCAGATCTAGTAACTGAGCTTAACGGTAATATATTGGATTTTCTCATGCTGTATGTTTGCCAAGCTTTGCTAATTATGCTTCATAGGGTTTTGTGGAGGCAAGCCTACTTTCTGATATTCGCGATTAAACACCAGCCTAAACTGACTTTTACGAACAGTTATGTCTGTCCTCTCGTCTATGCGTTACTGTCTAGGAGACCCTCATGACTATGGTGCCATCTGGGCTGCGCTTGGACTTATGCCTTTCGGGCTTTTCTTTGATTTCATGGATGGAAAGATTGCAAGGTGGAGGAACAAGTCGTCGCTCATGGGACAAGAACTCGATTCATTGGCAGATCTGGTACGCTGGTCTGCAATGCTGATATGACGAAATACTTACGGTCGCTTCTAGATTTCCTTTGGCATGGCACCGGCTGCGGCAGCCTTCGCTCTTGGAGTCCGCACAAATGTCGACCACCTCCTCCTCGCCTTTTTCGTCCTTTGTGGCCTGACACGGTTAGCCCGGTTTAACGTGACAGTTGCCGTACTTCCCAAGGACAAGACTGGAAAGTCGAAGTATTTTGAGGGCACGCCAATTCCGACCACACTGTCTATTGCTGCACTCATGGCTTACTGGGTTTCTCAGGGATGGATTCAGGAAGACCTGCCACTAGGCGTTATTGCGCAGGGCACGGCCTTTGAATTCCACCCTGTGGCGTTGCTGTTCGTTCTGCATGGCTGTCTGATGGTCAGCAAGTCTATACATATTCCCAAACCTTGAACACCAAAAGCTTTGCACAGACAGGTGGAAAGACATTCCTGTACTGGAACTTTTACTTGATAGAAAAGTGTTGATGAGACTTAAGCATATATATGTAACTAAGCAGGAACGAAAGCGGTCACGAAGCGTTTCCTGAGGATAATGCTGTTTGACGAAGAAAATTTGGATTGCGAAAAGCTGCGGATAGTCTTACTCTGGTCTGGCCATTTTTGTTTGCTAGGCCGATTTGCGTAAATCTAGTCCGCCATCCACTGCTTGGTAAAGTAGGCATAACATGTACCGAATGAATTGGTTCACGTATAATAGAGCTCCCTGCATACGGCGATGGAATATCTGGAACTACACATTGTCTAGACACGCGTACAACGGCTTTTCTCGAAGCGCAAGAATGTATATACAGTACAATAGAAGGTTTGGAGTAAGCCTATATCGGAAGTGTATGGTGTTAGGTTTTTCGAATATAGGAAAGTTATCACTCTCTGTAAAACAAGGGACGCGCCATCCGCTGCCCTTGACTCACAAAGTGATACCGGATCCGCTATTACCACCATCCGCCCAAAGCCGTAGCAATTGCAATAGTCCTGAATCACCGAGCCCATCTATGAAAGTAGTTCTCGATAACTATTGACCGTATGCACGTGAGTACATCAAACAAGCCTAGCGGAGCAGGTCTAAAAATGTACAACACCTCACACATCTGACGACTCGTGCTGATAAAAAAAGATGAGCGAGATGGATACAAGTGGATCAACCATCGATAGTTATTCCTGTGTGCCATGTATCTTCGTGTGCATGTCCACTTCCCAAGAATATCCATGTCACATGCACGTGGAAGGATGAAAAAATTTCCTATATAAGGAGTCGTTACCAGTTGCCGGTGAGTTGACCCACAAGAACCTCAAATTGCCACTCACTTTTTTCTGGTAGTAAAATACAGAGTACAGGGCAACAATACAAAGAAGTCGCCCAAGTGAGGCTAGTGGTACATAGTGTTACCTGTGTTGGATAATTATGGAAATGTTGACAGGCGCCCGTGGGGCACTGACACATTCTAGACCCCTCGAGGCGTCTGTTTCACCTCGACCAAAAATGCCCATGAGCCAAGAAAGGAAGGAGAGTTTTGTCCAGTTTATTCTTAGTATTTGCGAACTCGGTTGCGAGGTCGATGGTACCTTACAGGAGAGGGCGTTGATGTTATTCTATTATTGGCGAGGTTTCTTCTTTTTAATCGCTGTTTGTGTTAGTTCTCTGCTGCGAAGTTGTATTCTGGTCTTGCTCCTGAGTTGTTTTCATTGATTTATTCATGCCGAAGAAAAGCAACTCGGATATCTCGGTTGTTGATCCGGTCCTCCTAGTAGCGGTCAGTTGGTGCAGTGCGCTTAGACGTGTCCTTCGCCACTCTTTGGGAAAATAGTTGAAGCGAAGCCCATTTGGATACTACTGAAGATGATGACTGTGCATGCATTTCAAACGAAAGTTAGTACCTAGCTCATGTCAGTGTGGAGCCTATGCCTGCGATGTTAGCACCCTGCGCTGCAGTTATGGGTTGTTGCCTCGAAATTTGAACTAAGTACATACTGCTTACGTACATCGTCTTCTCCATGTGTTGGTAATATGGAACAAGAATAAGCTTAAATTCCATTTCACAAGCGACGCCTCCTGCCTAAGCTACCCGAAATTAAGCAGGAACGCTGCCTACGTGTCGCATGCTGATATAGAGTTGTTCGATGCATGCAGACCATCATCGGAATGTCCGTCGGAAAGCAACATGAAATGCCCGATCGCCCTGAAAGGGATGCAGGTTGACGAGTAACATATTTGTCAGTCGGAAGCTTGAGTATGCTTTGCTCCCTTAAGCGCTGTACCTTGTCAAATATTTTCCTCGTTTCTGTCGAATCATAGATGGTAGTCGATTGCATTTGCGCCTGCTAAACGCCCTCTATGGTTTTATTCACGAGTCACAATGCTGCAGCTTGCAGCTTTCGCTCGTCGATCTGTTGATCTCCACTGTATTTGGATCGCATCTGTCATTTGACGTGTACATTCCTCGAGTGTCTATCGCCGCCCTGTACATTGATTCAACTCTGTACTGTTTATGGAACCATTTCTGCGTAATGATGGTACAACGAACCCTGTACGTACCTACAGTTTCTTTGCGGGTTTCGGAGGATCCGCATCAACACCCAGGGTCAGGATCCCAGGTCCACTCCGGGAGTGTCCGCTTGAACCCAAGGAACGGCTCCGTGTCTCTCTTTTTGTTTCACCCGAATAACGAAGGGTTCTCTCATGACGGTGAGGACTAAGTGGGCGCGAAAATACATGCGGCCCTACATCAATACTTTGGCAATTATTTCTGTGGCGCCTTACTTTCAGAAATACCTCTTACAGCCATAGTCGGAGAGCACCGTAGAACATGTACTCCGTAAAAGTTGTATTTAACCCGACCTACTCTTAGTGACAAGATCTGCATGGGTCTGCATATGACGCAGCCCTTTATTGGTGCTGACCAAATACGGCTCCAAGGCTCCATAAACGACGGACCGTTCCCTTGTAATTGGCTCGTGGCCACCACACCTCAGGATCAAAAAAGTCTCGCTGACTTGGATTAAAAATGGTACCTGGTGCAAATTCGGCGGTTATGTATCTCGCTTGCCACGCCTCGGGCGTAGAATCTCGTGGAGTAAGCTTTTACGGAATGCCAAATTTTTGGACCCTGTGCTGAGTAGTCTGTACCAAAGAAGATCAGAAGCGCACGACCTTGCGTTCGAGCAATGGCACGGAACAGCCAGCCAGCCATCTGTTGTTGTTTTTTTGCGTTTTCTTCCTTTGGTGAAAAGGTCCGGGTGTTCCGTTCGCTGTGTATGGGGGTTACTCTTCCCGCTAGCGAAGATATGGAGCAAGGAGCCGTGCACTGACGCGGCAAGCCTTCACTGGTGAAGGAAAACGGTTTCTATCGCCATTAATCAAGCTCGTTTATTCACATTATGAGCGTATTGTATTCTCTATAGTATAGAGGACATCCAGCTCATCTTGTGTGGCCGATGGACATTCAGGGCAATGTAGTAGTAATATCACTCGGCCTCGGCTTGTTTATGTTGGTACACCACAGTCGCAAGTGAATATGAGATTGATTCATCCACCCTGAAACAAAAACGGACAGGATATTGGATGTAACTATGAATGGCCAACTGAACTTCCTAGCATCTGTTTGTTCAAATGAGGTCGAGACAGCCAAAGTTCATACTGGCCATATTCTAGTCATACCTTTTGTTCCAATGTCATTTGATCCATAGAAGAAGAAAAGAACCTATGGGGTAACCATGACTGTACATCATCCCCTCTTTTCATTAATGCAGCGGCGCCACAAATAATCACACCAAGCCCATGACCTTCCCTATATAGGTATAGCGCATGTAGATACTCCATTTTTCCTGCCCGTTCATGGATACCGAAAGGGAAAGGGATCGTTGTGCCCCTGGATTTCTGATTAGCCATCCAGTCATGGCACTACTTATCTAATCCGTGGCCGCGCTGTGATTGAAGCAGTGTAACTTTGGTACGCGGGACGAAAAATTACCGCCCTGCATATCCAGGGTCACCCTCCGTTTGGAAACGACCCCTAAAACACTACGGTACGTACCACCCATGGATATAATCTGTTCCATTTATTTGGAAAGCCGTTGATGATGTAGGTCATGATGATTCGACTTTCATGGCCCTTTGATTGCTAGGGGTACACATCGTAAGAACCCTAATCTAAGGTTAGAAAAGTAGTAAATTCTGCGTGTATTCTACTGTAGGTGCGTCGCTTAATCTCCCGGTAAATCAGGCAGGTACTAATCAATACGAAGGAGTTCTTCCGTTTCTCCCTGTAACCCTGTCCCCGTCAAGTCATTCGTTCAGTCTCAGCAGACCCCTACTTACCCTAGTATCCTTCGTTTCCCTTCGTTTCCCCTTCCCTTTCCTTCCATTCCTTCCATTCCTTCCTACTTTCGGGCAAAAGACACTCGTTTTCTCTTCTTGTTCTTCACTCGGAGGGACTGTCTCCTGTTGCTTTCGTTGAAATCAATTCTCTTTTCTATTTTCTATCGTTTACTCTCTTGTTTAAATGCAAACATTGACGATTACATCAATATATTCCCTCCCCCCCCCCTTCGAAAATCTCCGAGTCAGCCTTCGTTCGCGTCTGTACCAATTTGCTGTCGCTGCGGGTGATCCGACCGACCTTCTAAGTTTCCTGTTACGGACATTCATTAAACTCCTCTCGGCAGAAAGGGGCGCTTGAAACGTCCGGCCCTCAGAGTCTTCCCCGCCTAAGAACCGCCCTTGACAAACAACCCAACATTCTTTCCCGTCGCCATCGCATTAACCTAACCTCATCAACTATCCTCCCGCTCGCTGACATCCTGTCGTCACCGGCCCTTGATTAGCTGCGCCTGTTGTCGACTGTGTCACGTTTCATCAAGTCGAATTGTTTACGCGAACCTGACCCCTAAAGGTCACCGCGGCCATTTTGACGCCTCTCAGGAAGTCGATTGGGAAACAGGATCTCAATCTGGTCTAAAAGGGTTACGCCGGTCGTCCCTCTTTCCTTCGCTTAACTATCAGCACAACAACCATACTGTCTGGAGCAGTGTCCAGATACTGATACCCTTGCAATTGTTTCCCGACACATCTACAACTACAACTACAACATGAAATCATTCACGATTAAGTCGGCTCTTGCAGCCGCCACCCTTCTGATTGCAGCCAACTTGCCAGCAGTGAGCGCACAGACACAAGTCGATAAGGGATGCTATAGTGATTCGACGCCGTTGAAGGATCAGGGCCCTTATACGTACCAAAGTAACGGATATTGCCAGAAGCTCTGCTTGAAGGATAACTATGCTGTTTTTGCCTTGTCGAAGGGCACAAACTGTCTTTGCGGTAACCAATTACCAGCAACATCGGCTAAGACAGATGACAGCGACTGCAATGTCAAATGTGCTGGATGGCCTGATGTTATGTGTATGTAGCTTTCCGGCTCAGCCCGCTGCTCTTGAGTACTGATTTTTCATTCAACAGGCGGTGGTAATAATGCGTTTTCCGTGTATCTCACGGGTATCGAAGATAATGTGGATAATTACTCATCCTCCTCTTCCTCCTCCTCCTCAAGCTCTTCCTCTAGCACCGAGAGTGGAGCCTCGACAACCACCAATGGAGGGACTGTCGTTACCACTTCTGGTGGACAAACAGTGACTAAGACAGCGGATAGTGAAAAGACAACGCAGGGTGCCGAGGAAAAGGAGAAGAAAAATTCTGGATCGAATACTGCTGCCATCGCTGCTGGTGTCGTCGTGGGAGTTGTTGGTTTCTGTGCTTTGGTGGGAGCCATCTTCTTTCTATGGCGGTTTAGGAACCGTTCCAACATGCCCGAACAGTATCGAAACAACAATATTGACAGATTTGGCGCCAAACCCATGTCCCAAAGCTCCATGTCTGATTCTAGGTTCGACGGTGACTTCATGGCACAGCGGCGCCAGAGCAATGGCAGCATCGATGATGACCAAGACTTTTCCCGTCGAATTTTGCAGGTGAATATCATTTGCGCTTGATCGCATGCTACTATACAGTACGGTTACTAACCGTGATCTAGGTGACCAATCCCGATCGCCGCTACTAAATTCAGGAACTCTGAACTTCCCCAATGGACCATGCGCCTAGTGAATTATCGAAACACAGCCTTGGCGACTAGTCCTACTCGTTATCCTGATATACATAAATTAGTTTGCGATTCTACGCTTGACCTCCATACATTCCTTCGATTTCATTTCTGATTTCCCCTCTACCGCGATCTATTTGGCGACGTTGCGATATCCTGAAGGCATATTCTGTAGATAAGTTATGACGCTTTACTGTCTACTTTTGTTTGCAACATGTTGTTCGAGTCTGGAACCGCAACGCACCCCTACTTCCATAATCCCGTAACGCCCCGTGACGTGCTCGGGAAGTCAAGGACGATATCATCATCGCAGGCTGCGAGGGAAAAATGCTGTGTCTGCTTGGAAGCAATCGGCCCGGACTTGGCCTTATGAATGTGTGAACGGCCACAAGATACCCGGGAGGGTCGGATGTTTAGTTCTGGATTTAGACTGCGGTATGTCGACCAGGGAACTTGTATTTTGAAAAGGCGTTCTGCGGTGAAGTATTCTTGAGTTTTCCCTTGTGAACACAGTTGTGTCCCTTCATACCTTTCTGTTCTTTCGCTGGGGTTATCCTGCCTTGGTTACTTTCTTTTCCTTTGATTTTTTATCATCTGTGATTTACTGAACTTCCCTTGGCCATTATCCCCCTAATGTTGGTATGCTTGGGGAATTGTAAGTAAGATGATGGCTGAGCCTGTAGTTAATGCGAAGAATGAATGGATACCACTCTTGTTTGATCTCAACTTCCCGACTTACCTGGCCATATGAACGTGAATGCTATTATCCCGTTCACAACGTGAGGATTTGTTTCACATCACAATTTTGGCAAGGCCCTACCATCTCTCTCCTCTCTATAGTCTACCAATCCTCCCCTACGACTATCCACTTGCATTCACTTCGGTTGCGTTTTATAAGTTGTCCTAGAGGAAATCGACTCTATATTCATTGATCTGAAGTACGACACCTCCCTACTTTCAATGTCCAGAGAGAACGCCAACACCACACACACATCAGACGATTGACTGTCGGACTATCGAATCCTGGGAAGCTCTCTTTCTCCACAACACCCCGACCAATACCTACTAGTTGGTGTCTGAGGGCCAAGACAACAAATAGCCGCTATCCTTGAGCATTATGTATCACACCGACGTCAAGGCCGGTCCGCACGTGCGACCAAAGTGCATCTTCATCTAGAGGTCTAGCAACCTACTGGAATCTGTGAGCATATCCCACTATGGCAAGCCGCGTGCTGTACCGCCTTAATCCTTTGTTCCTAAGAACCTTTGCATAAGCTATGCGGTATAAGGGGTGTCGTTCCTGCTAATCGTTTTAAGATGGTTAATGCGATTATCATCTCTCCTCTCGTTCAGTCTTTCTATGGTGCCTGATGTATACTGCGAAAATATATACTTATGACTATCAAGCCTATACAAACTACTACCACATATATCCATTATTAGGAACACACCCATCATTAGACTACATCCGATACTTCTTCCTGAGTATATCCTCTCGCCCATCCTCAAGACTCGAATAGCCTCGTTAACGATACATAGTTCCACAGTGACAAAACCCGCACACCAACCCGCTTCATAAGTCGTACTAGTTCCCATGTAAGGAAATCAGCCGTCGACATAGATGTAGGCCGGTAGGCCTTGTAATCAAAGAAACTATCATCCGTCACCAGATCTCATTGAATTAAGGCTATCAAGTCACCCTTCGAGATACATCGCATGCAATTCAATAGATCTGTGTTCCTGGCGGTTTTCATCGTCCCGGAAATGAATGTAGCGATAGGTTCTCATTAACTCAACGTAGCCATCCTCAACGCAAGTGACCTGGAGTGCAGATGCAGCATAAGCCCTCAATGAAGTTATTCATCTATATACAAAATATAGAATATCAACGAAGGTATGGTGGCGGCGAGGTTGCTTTAGCCATCAGCCTCGCCATTCTCCACCTTTAATGGGATTTACCCAAAGTGAAGCTCTTTTGTGTTTTTTTTGGCCTGTTATGTACCTCCGATGATAACGATATAACAGAAGTAATGTTAACGAAATCCAGGATAGGGTTCTGTCGAATAAGTCATCTGAAGACGGATCCCTTGGCTTACGGGAGGTTCGGATTGGTGGTGTCTATCTAGTCTAAGAACATGTTTGTATATATATATATATATGACGTTTCTTTGTTTGTATGGACTAATGGTGGTTTCGTGGATATTTACATCCAGGGCTGGTTGTGTGATTGCATCACTGGATCTTTGTTCAAATATGAATTTGTCCATCTTCTTTATATATTTGTTTATCTTGTCGGTGTAGTTTTGGGTTCTGGGTGGGTTGTTTTTCGTTGAACTAGATAGTCTGCTTGTTGCTCTTGGAGCTATATATCCTACGTTCTGTTGTGATGAGAGTATATATGTATGTAAGTATATATTCTTCCATCTGGAAACATGGCATGGGCGAGCGTTTTCAATTCGGGGAGTCGGTTGGGCGTGCGATCACAATTTCTTCATCTTTTGAAGTCTCCATAAAGCTCTCAGACCGTTTGTATGAGTTTGTATTGATAAAGACATCGTCTTTATACTGATGGATTCTGGAATGAGAATTCAAAACATTTTTCTTCTTCTCGCTAGCTCAGCTTCTCTGAAGTGTGTACATACTTCGCCGAATTCACGATAGCCCAGTTTCTCTCGATAGATCATCACACACCACTAGACCAGCTAATGACGAAAACACGGCATGTCAGCCCGACAAACAAGAGCCAGCCCAGTCGTCGAGTCGACAAACCCCCAACCTCAACATCAAGGCAGTGGCCGGATATCCGGATGAAGATCACGATAAATATAGAATACCGCATCCACGCGAACTATGTAGACTAAAAAGTAAGACGCAAGTAGTCGAAAGGCTATGTCTCGCCTAGGAGAAGTCGTTGCTGCAGGAGTATGACGAAAGAAAAAGAAAAGAAAAGAAAAGAAAATAGAAGATGCTGACATGACGGAGCTGAGATGCATTTCTGCACAGTGATGCCCCACGCCCAAACATGAAGCCATGCAGAAGGGAACTCGTTTCAAAATTGCATGGCGATAAATATAGATACAGCCCCTCACCTGAAACCAACAGGTTGAAGAACGGACGCAGCTTACATGCATAAGGGTACCTGTTTCAAGAGCACACCCTGCCAGTAAGACTGCACGGTGAGATCTTAAAAAGGTGGTGGTTGGAACTTGGGCCAGCGACTGGACGGGGGGGTTAAACGAGGGGGGAAAATGGCCCTAAGGCAGTCTCAGGCTAAAAATACCGAGACGTCAGAATGCGCCTAGCCCGTGGCCACGAGGCACAACGTGGCAAGGATCAATAAAGAACCCGCATGGTTGGTTCGTGAGGAGAATCTCACGGCACTCCCCAATCCAGTAAGTGGAAGGGTCTATCAAGTGCCAGGATTATGGATGACCTTGGGTGGTTGTTGGCTGCCGCAGACTCCGCGGGGATTGCCCTTGGAACTTTCTGAAACTTAACCTGGTATGTAGTATACAGACCTATACATATGGGGTAAGTAGTACTCCGTAGTATGCATGGTATCTACAAGGATGTGGCACATGGCCTTGACTAGTATTCTGGAGTCGCGAGGAGCCATACAACATGACGTCAGTGGCATATACTGCGTATGCGCCCGGAATGGTCCAGACGGTCAAAGTGAGGTTGCATTTCCATATTCGAGATAGTTGTCTCCTCTCTATCAAGGTGGCGTTTTCCTTCGCACGTGTTGAGTAGTGGATATGAAGATCATCCTAGCCATGGATGCAACACCCTGCACGTTTGGCCAAGGCAATACTCCGGAGGCGCCAATATCAGAGCGCCATTGGGTTTGGCAATTTAAGCAGGATGACCGAGAGGCAAACTCCAGCCATCCACGGAGGGTCTTATTGATACAACGAATAATCGAAATGGGTTGTTATGCATAGTAATGGGCCAATCCCCTAACGGGCAGGATGTTGGTTGATAGAAGCTTGTGTTGGGGTCTACCCGTGCCAAACCGGAGGCCGGAAGTGGCTTATTAATGGAATTGATGACGATTGTTTGTTTCCGGATGTATACTGCGAATTAGCGGTCTTATGTCCTCAGGCTGCATAATATCGCTGCCTGGATTCCCTACGGTGTACTAGTACTACTAGTACGCGGGATTTGATGGCCTGTCATATACCCCCCAGATGATATCGCTGCAGTCGATCGATCGATCGGCTCCAGATACTTTGTGCTTCTGGGCCAGGGGTTGCGAATGGATCCAATATCCGATATATCCAGTAACTCAGGGAAAGATAGACCGAAGAGGAAAAAGAACAAAGAACAAAGAACAAAGAACAAAGAAAAAAGAAAAAAGAAAAGCTGAGAAATTCCACTCGAATAGCCCGGTACCGACCAAATGGTGCATGATCGCCGTGAAATGGTAACAGAGGCTCTTGCACACGTGTGGCCGGATGGAACATTCCAATGGACCTGGTGTCCGCAAGGATCAGGTTCTGGCAGATACTAGTATCCAATAACGGTGGCAGGCGAATGAGACTGGCGGTCGTAAATTAATCATGGCTTGTTAGCCAATTAGTTTGGCAAACGGCGTCTCGCCCAAGCCAATGTGGGAGGTCCGCATGCAAGAACTAACTGCATGTTCCAGCGGGGATCTGAATCCTTCCAGCGTTATCTGTCGTTTATTTTCTTGATTCTGTCAAGTGGGACCGGCTGAAGAAATTAATTGCCATTTATTTGGTCACACTAGTATCCGAAGAGCTGATGATGTAGCATTTCTCTTCATCTAATGGGGAGCCCCCGGGGTTCGGTCTAGATGAACGTGGCGGACCGATCCTATCAGGATCGATACTACTTACTAGGTAGTATTATGATCAACCGAGGGGGCCAACCAGCTGGCGAAGACGTTGGATAGTTCTGCACTGACGACCCGGTAGATGTCAAGGTGACAAACACGCCTGTGGTAGCCGGTCTCGGGCCCAGTCCTGATCCTCGACGATGGTACTAGTCAGTCAGATCATGCCACATCTCAAGGAAGGCCACGTTTTGTCCCCTCCTTTACCCCCTAGCTCAGCGCATGGCACCCTGGTCTAAGGCTGACTGAAAGGGCCCCGTGCTGCAGCTACGGGAGTAGCGTGCAGTCCACTGAGGCATCTAAGGCATTGCGTAAGGCATACATAAGCTGAAAAAAAAAATTAAATCTTAGTATTCGCTTTTTTAGCACTGATTTGCTATCATCAATCAGCACTTCTCTCAAAAAGGGATCAATGTATATCCAAATACTGCGGCTTTAATTCCGGACTTCGCCGTAATCAACGAACTCGTAACTCTATATGGTAAACAGGTCGGAGTCGTAGCAGAGACGGATCCAGTACATCCCAGTGTAGCCCAGTGTCTCAGTGTTTAAAATTAATCTACCCCGCTGGCGAGATCGACCAGTTCCGTGTGCAAGGTCGGCCGATCGTTTGCCCCAGTAGGATTCTCTGGGCGATGAAGCGAGGAACATGTTGTCGGGCGCTACGATATTAGTGGAAGTTGCCAATTACAGTGACGGAGTTAGGGTAGGCCGGACCAAAGCGAGGGCAAACGTATGGCGAGCATTCTGGACCAATGATTTTACGAGAGCTCGCTAACGTGCTCCACGAGGGTGTCTTTTCGATAGAGCCTCAAAACCATACGTACAATACTCAATCGACGGCAATGACAGATGGTTCTGGGATGTTTCATGTAGCCAAAGGCTTCATGGTGCTTACACTATAAAAGATGCACATGGCAGGAAGGGACACAACTACGAAGCATCGTCGATCCCAGTCCGCAGGCGACGATGTAGCCTGGATTGATACCTGGAAGGCTGAAGCAGCCTCGGGATCATCGCCGGTTGGCCGATATTTCTATCATCCTGGCCTCGGCAATACACGTCAGTAATCCTTCCGGCGCATTCCTCCTAATTACCGCTCATTTCAGTCGAGGACCCTTGCCCTATATTTGAAAACCTAGAAATTGATATGGCCATTGAGTCTCTGAAGTGTAGGATGAATCATACGCATAATAAACTCGCTTGGCCCTCAAAGAGATCGTCAAAACATTTTACTTGAACAGGCAATTCGTGGCACTACCTATTCTAGCTAGAGGGGGGGGAATGTCACTGGATATCAAGAGTGAGTGGGACCAATCTAGGTTGAAGCGAGCCATGGAAGAAGCGAAAGAAGATCATAGAGCAAGAGGAGCTAGTTGAGGACGGTAGGAGCCGCCCGCAGTTATTCCGTTGGCCAGTCCGAACCACGGAATTCCTTGAGATGGGTTAGGAAAACGGACTAAAACTACTAAAAAGCGAGGCACTTTCTTATCCGGCAAGCCAATCCACGACTCAGTGGGACGTCTATGCCCGATCAGGTTATGCACAAGGGTCCCACTCGACAGAAGAACCATCCACTGATGTTTTTTCTTTTCTTTTCTTTTCTTTTCTTCTTATTATTATTATAATTTTTTAATGGAGGGTCCTTTGTTATTATCCCTATCCTTAACTAATAATAATAATAATAATAATATTATTATTAATTCAACCCATAGCGGAGTCGGTAGGGTATTATTTCTCTCCTAACTTGAAACCGGTGGAGATCCTCACCTCTCCAGGTATATGCGCATACCTCTTCATTGGCACGGGCTTGAGGTTGCGTATCCCGCGGTCGACTACTATCATGTCAAAGTACCACTTCGCCGGACTTCTGGCTCAAAGCTTTGTCCAAGTAGCCAACGAACTAGGTAATTGCGTTCAAAAACATAACTCGATTTCCTTCTCGCCAGTCTCCATACATGGGGTGATATTGACCGTGATATGAGGCTCTGGTCAGTGGCCACGGTGAGCATTTTTTTTCTCTGTGACCCGCTTCGCAGGATTTTCCTCACCTGGACTGGCTCCCTATTCTTTTTATTTTCCTTTTTCTTTCCTCTCTCGGGAAATCTCTCACACATCATGGTTCGCTGATAAGAGCCGATGATTACCCAGCGACGATCCCTGACTAATATTTTACATAATCCTTCACAGCCTCAGGCAAGGCTGACTGACGGGAATTGCACTTGGATTTGAGCAGGAATTTCTTCATGCATCGATTTCTATTTTTACACGATCTCGAACCTTATCTACTCTGACTACCAGGCTGAGCACTGCACAATGATCACAGTTCTAAGCCGTAACAACCTGAACTGGTATCCTCTGTCATTGGATTAGGCAAGAAACCGGCTGTTTCGAAATAGGGATGACCGAACTGAGTGGGCCGCATGATGGTAACCCAAAAGAGTATGCAAGTTGAAGTCAAGACCGTCGGGTCGGAGATAGGGTCAACGCCCACATGACGTTGATCCAGAAATGCAGTGACGAGAACATCAAGGGATTATCACCGAGCCGAAATCACCTGTCAATCAAATGCCAATAATTAGCGCATATGGTCGAGACCTGTCGGATCCGAGTCCGGAGACGTACTCTATATCTCCGGAAACTATTGGTTTACGGCCAAGACTAGGTGTCACGTTGCTGTTTAACGTACCCTACGCAGTAAACCTACCCAGGAAGAACCTGGAGCTATGGACTTGGGATTTGAGGGTTGGAACGCACGGTTGCCTCGGGCCAGATTCTGGCTCCGGCGGTGGATCTTGCCATCACGGACTTCAGTCCCCTGCCGCGATTCCGATCTAAAAGGTTTGTACGGACTTCCGAGGATCTCGAAGTTGTGTTCGCATGTACGTGTTCTATATAGGTGTAGGATCGAGCGCACAGCAGATGTTAGTGGACTTGAAACGATACAAACTGATGTAGATAATAATGCCCTTAAGTGCTCCGGACATATTCCGTACATGCACTTCCCAATACCAAAGCGGATGAGTGCAGCCCGTTCGGTTTATCATTCAGGGGTTTGTCCAATCACTGCCCCCAGCGGGTGTTGGCTCGGCTAGTCTACTACAGGTTAGTGCTTAATATCGGTTCCATCAACTTGGTGGAGATCAATCAGCACATGACTTTCAAGATACATAAGTACTGCCTATTACCAAGTTGACGAGCACTTGTTGCTTTGCACAAGCATCATGGAAACTGCATACATCCTGTTTCGTGTACTCGTGATGTGATCGAGCAACAACATCCGTGTATGAGGATGGTGGTTTTGGAATCCCAACCCTGTTGAGTATGACATTCCAAAACTGCAAGGTTTCTTACTGCAGTAGCGTGATGCTCCTACTCCCCTTACGCGGAAGGATCATCAACGCTGCGATGGGCCTATTCCACGTGATTGTTCTCGAACCAATGCAGGCTGCATGATGTCCTCATGGCATCCCCGAGTGCTGGGTACTAGTGCTACATCCCAATAGCACTGGGGGCTATTGGGGGCAGATGATGCCAGCACTAACAGCTAACATATTAGTGCCTACAACTGTACAGAGTAGTGTGCATAAGCTGTGCCTTCTCGGAGCGCTCTATTGGACGCATTCGCCAAGCATTCCCTGGATGGGTTAGATTCGCATACCTCCAGATCCTACACATTTCGGTAGACACCTCAGGTGTTTTATGCCTCTGAGTTCTACGCATTGTCTGGGCTGGGGCCACCCCCTCCCCCATTCGCAGAAAAAAAAATACTACGCAAATACGATGGACAATCTCAATTGGTATGCTATTAGATTGATTTAGTCACAACCGGGAATCTCGAGCCAGGGAAATGAAATGCTCCAGGTTGTAAGAATTTAGCTGTTAGTCGACATGTTTCGGGGTTTAGAAGACTCATGGAAGAGCCATAGAAGCCCGCTTACGATGGAAGTTGGCACGCATGCATTACTCTGCGTCGCGCAGGATTCCGATATATTTCCACCAACCTTGGCTCCCGGAAGCTGCTCCGCTTGCGCAGAAGATTCTCTTGTCTACCGCATATCACTTTAGAAGCTGATAGGGGCTGTTCGCAAAAAGTACATTGAATTTGGAATAAAGAAAGTAGTTGACCTCCGGATTGTGGTTGTCAACCCATGGCGTACCCGTTCGCCTGGAGCTTGAGATTCCCCAGAATTACTCCGTACACCTTCTTTGTTCCCCGACACCTCCCTAGTCTGCCCCACCTTGAGCCATGTTTACTTTGCCGTTCAATTCCGATTCTGTCATTCGGCTAACCTAAAGGGGACCTTCGTTTGAAAGGCGTATATTAAAAGGGAAACCTATTTATATGATCTATCCCCCTTTGGTTCCCCGAGATTACCGTGTGCTAGGGCAATGATCAACTAGATCGATGAAACAAGCTAAAGCGCACGTTGTTTGGACGGACTAGGGGACAACTTAGACGGACATACTCTGTAAATATGGCCGACACTGACCCACAGGGCTGGGTCAACCCAAAAATTCTTGGTTGCATTGTGGAAGAGGAACTCGAGAATTTGAATTCTGGGTCTCCTCTTCCGTGATTCTCAGTGTTCCACAGCATGACCCCGCGGGATCTGGGTACCTTCGGAATCAATGACTCCCCAGGCGGAATAACCGATCAGTTTACCGGCAAGTCCGATACTCATATGACTTCCTGGGGAGTGATTGGCCGGGAAGAGTAAGGTGCTTATTGGAAATTAGTGACTGGGATTATCGGGCTCTTCCCGATGCTGCTAATTCCTCTCGACAACGTTGGCGCACGTGGTTTTACCTGGTATATGCTTCCATTCCAACGGGAGGTATGTACGCCGTGTAAGCAGACGCCAATCAGCAATTATGGGCCATTTCCGTGAAACTCGGATAATGTGGATTCTGTGCAAGGAGACCGACGGGATAGATAGGAAATCAATCATCTTGGCAGGCAGACTCCCAAGCATGGGGAAGAAGCCTTGGAACTGACCACACGATCGACGGTAGCTTTCAACCTGAGGGAAGGGCAAGGGGAACCGCCGACCTTGCATTTACGACCAGTGTGCTACTAGACTCCACCGGGTAATAGGCTAGTGATGAAAATGTGACCATCAACACACGCGCACATACGCATGAGATGAACCTGCCCTACTAACAAAAGTAAATTTAAGGAGCCGACGCCGAGATCGATCGCTAATGCTATGACACTGGCCAGGCGACGGGAGTGGAGACCTAAGCATTAGACGGACGCACCTGTCGGACCGCGTGAATGACTTCCGACCAAGGGAACTAAGGCTCAAAGGAGAGAATGAACGCCTTTTGGCTATCTTGGAGTTTCTTGACCCCCTGGGCAAGTGGGGCACACACCGTTGGAGGGGCTTTGCTTTGCACGCTCTCGCTGGCGAGGGTTAACCATGACAAATTCCATTCGTCCAAAAGTCTATCAGCATTCCAATGGGCAATGCTTACCCATCCAGCGTACATACACAATGCTGATTTATCCGAGGAGGATGTGGTTATTAATAGCTTTTAGGTTAACTATGTATTTCATTTCTTAGGTTTCTTTTTTCTTTGGCGGCGCTATGGCGATTATTGCAACAATTCAAGATTGATTTCTTCATTTTCCTTTTCCGGCTCTGATGCAGGTTGGGTCGCGACTCGCGATATGTGACTCTTTTTCTTCTGCAAGCTGGGTCTCAAGGCCAGCTAGCAGTTTGGTGTCAAACTTCAATTTGACCGACGGATGGGTTTCCACATTACAGACTACGGGAGTGGTTCTGGATCTTGTCTGGTTGTGGTGGATCGTTGATATTTAGGAGGTCAAGTGCATCCATCTCCAGAGAGTGGACCCCGTTGAGGCTTTAAACCTGAATTTCCACTTGTAGTTTGGAGGTTGTAGTAATTACCTTATGGCATGGTGGATAGTGTGGGAAAAAGCAAAAAGGAAACTAAAAAAAAAAAAAGAAAAGAAAAACAAGAGACAGGGTAGAAAGAGAGGAGCCGGACGAAGATACGAGGGGGCCAATCACGGGGTGTTCCTCGTACCAACACTTCCCACTAATGCTCCATACATGCAGCTGAATCCCAACCTCTACTGTGATTCATCATTATTATTATCCTTAACCACTGTACCAGTTGCTATACGCCTATCTACCAAATCTTATGCTACATATCGGTGGCCTGAAATACTGCTTGTGATTAGATATTTGTCTGGTGGTGGTGGTGGTTCCAAAGTTTCCAAAAATCATTGGATTAGTGTTCCAGCTACTACTCCGACTAGTCATTATAGTGACCAAACCTCGTAGTGTTAGGGTTGTAGAAGATGCTCGATGTGACCCGAGAATGGTCCACGTTGAGTCTGGCCTTCATCTTCTCCTTAATCCTCCTTTTTCTTCTAACCCAAATAGATTGGTTTAAATTGAATTACAGGTCAATATTTCCGGATCATCGTGGCGCTGGGGAATGAAGATCCAGCAACCATGGCTCTGTTGGTGCTCGCGATGCAGTGGAATCACACCAACAGAAAGCCGTTGAAGTGTATTTGGGCGTGATCCCTGTCGCTCTAACCCTTAGTCGACCCAGTGGTACCGTTCGAATTGACTACTAACGAATGGAGTAAGGGTGTAATAAAAATAATCTGTCTGTCAGGCATACTTTCCCCCAACTTTGCGCCTCAGCCGCACCAGTCAATACGGGTCTTGTCTGTTGGTTTTCCGGTGGATAATACACCCATGCTTGTTTCCCTTCAATCAGATCCTTGACTTCTCACGCCGCATGGCAACTGTATAAAAAAGAAAATGGGAAAAAAAAAACGGAAAATGGAAAAAGAACCAAAATAACAAGAGTCCAATTCAGTAAAAGCAGAAAATAATAATTTCCTTTTCCAGGATTGTATTTTTATCCATATGATTTTGACTCATTTGAATTTAATATCATTTTCTTTCCTTTCCTTTTTTCTCTTTTCCCTGTTTATGATTTTAATTTCTTTTCTTTTCTTTTTTCTTTTTTTTAACCCTCTTAATTCCTGGTTAGCTCCGTAAGTGGATGCATGTCTTCTTGAGGCTTTTCATTTACATAGCCATCATGCTCTCCGGTTTATTTAATTTCTTTTGCCCTTTGGTATGATCATCCTGCAGACTGATCAGCACTGTTCGCTTACCCTATCTATTTGTGATTGTTGTTGCTATGTTTAATGACAATCCGATTATTCTCCCAAAGAACACTCCCCCCGGTTTAAATTAATTCATTCGACCTATGAAAAAGACTAATTAGAATTGATATTCATATTTATTGATTTATTTCATTTTTGTTTTATTACTGTCATCGCCCGTGCAAGGGTCTGCAGCAGATCTCTAGCGAAACCATCTGACCTGGTACCTCGCATATTCCACTCGGACGGTTCTATATCAATTCCTCAGCATCCTCAGCACTCTACTGCCATCATTCCGACTGTTTCAGATTGTCTCTCTTCTGCTCCCCTGGATCTCACTGCATCAATTTGACTTGCATATGCGAGGCATTTTTTTATTTTTATTTTTCTTCGTACCGTCTGATCTCATCCATTTCCGCCCTATAACATTATTTCCATACTAGGCAATATACGAACCTGCATCACAGCCCACCACCATCCCCACACGCCCCCATACCACACCGTCTTCTGTTTCTGACAGGCACCTGAGTCGTTGTATCATGGCTAGAGGATCTGCCCCAGGAACCGAAACTATATCTTCTCCCCACTCGCCTATCCATCTGTCAACAGTCCTCAACTCTTCACGCACTTCCTCAAGAGCAATGACTTCTACCACCTCCACTTCTCGAACACAGAACAAGGCTTCGTCTAGGAAGACTACCACCACAATGCGCCGGACCAACACTCAAACAGAGATCCCTCTCCCAATCACCTATACCCCCACCACCCATCGCATCAGTAAAGCGAAGAAGGGTAAACGTGTACACGCCTGCGAGTTCCCAGGATGCAACAAAGTCCGTCCACTCCTACATCCAAACGATTGAACTCCACTAACCTCCGCCTAGGTCTTCACCAGAGCGGAACATAGACGGCGACATGAACTCAACCACAACCCTGAGGCAGTGTTCCGTTGCACCCACCCGGGATGCAAAAAGGCGTTTCACCGTCCTGACTTACTGGCGCGCCACGTAGAAAGACAGTGAGTCTGACTTGGTCTTGAGTCTCGGTCGAGTACCGGCTAATGAATGATGTTCCAGCGAAATTGAGACTCAGATGAACAATGCGCAATGGGGACGACAGAGTCACATCCCAATGGTATCTGAATCTCATTACTTGCCCAAGGCCGCACCCGTTGATCCCAGTGCGGGCCACTTTCTTGCTGCAACTCAACCAACAACTTCTATGTCAATTGGATCCCTCGTGGCACCACCTATTCATCCAGACCTAGCAAACGACACTGGTCTCATGTGGATAGGGATGAACATGCCGTCGGAGCACCAAACACACCTCTATCCCCCGCACCACATTCATGAATCCATCGAGGACAGCCAATTTTATTCGAGCCCTGAGGCTTGCCCTTCTCCTTCTTCAGACGGTGCAACATTATCTATCCCGTCTCACCCCCGGTCATCAGTCGCTTCGACGCCTACAGCTGTTTGCGACCAATACCCAGAACCCATCATCGACGGCGAGTTATCATCCTCACCAATGCCTATGCATGCAAGCCTGCGGTGCTGGGACCAATCAGAAGGGCCACTGGCTACACCAAGCTATGCGCCTGTCCCTTTGAACGATGTAAGCCAACCCCAGCCTACAGCCAACAATAGAAAGCTGACTAGTGAACAGCCTTTTCACTGCCAATACCCGTCGCCAACCTGGCCAGCAGCACACCATTTCACCTATGACGAGCCCGCGCTTCCATCTGGGACACAGTTCCCGCCTGCAGTATCCTGGAAGTCATTCACGATTTGAGGCCAATGCAGAACTTATGATGACCATAAACCAATCGCACACGCTACCATTGAGACATTTTGACGCAAGCCGCCCAATCTTGATTCTACTGTACGATTTTGCCTGCCACTCACTGCCGAGTACATTATACCACCGACAAGCGAGAGGCATTCTTGGAGGAAACTCGCTCGATGAAAGGGACTACCGGAACGGATTGCACGTCATTTCTCCTGCTGTACCACCAGAAAAAACGATTCCCGAGAAACGATCACGGTTACACAAGCCGTTATCACTCAGGACGACTTCCAGGCTGAACTCAGATGGAACCCCACGAGATCTAGTATTCCCGGGATTCTAAAAATGGATCCGAGGACATGACTCGGAAGTTTCAATTCCACCCGCGACCTGCTACTGTGTTACAGAACCACCACGATTTCTTTTCTTCTTCTGTGCCATCCCTGATGGCCTTCATAGAGCGGCGCATCCTTGGAAAAAATAAACGGGTTCTTTTTTTTTTGGAGGGGGTAGAGGAACGTATTTCCTTTGTCGCGGCCGGAATTTCCTTTGTTCTCCATTTCTTTTTTTTCTTTCCTATGTGCTGGAAATCTCCTTATCTTATGAATTGATGTATTTCTATACCCCAGGCTGATTGGCATATATATATATTGCTGTTCTGCCTTTTTCTTTCAAACCAAATATAACTAGACTTTTGGTTCACTTTGAAATCTATGTCCTCTTCTACTAGATCATGATTACTATCTAAACATCCTGCATCTTCCATACAGTGTGTCACTATAGTAAAATCTCACCTCTACCTCTACCCCCCCAGTATATACGGTGTAACAGTAACACCCAAATACGAGATCCCCCCTAGTAAAACCCAAACTCAAGTCTAATGCAACACCCACAATCACATATACAATGTGCGTACATACTCACCCTCAATCACTGAGGCGGGGGAAACGACCTCTTCCTCACAAGATAAACCTAAGCTCCATAGCCCCAATCCTTCCAAACTCAATACCAACCACCTCTGTTCCAACAACACAGCCACCCCGATGCAGAATCTATTTCCGGATCAGATACGCCTGAAGGATCATTAGCCAGGTTTTCCTCGAAGCTTAATGCTAGATTGCTTTTTGGC